TTACAATACAGTTTCATGAAAAGAATAATCTGTACATACGCGAATTACTCCCTCAGTTTTTGAGCTATCGATTTTCTTTCCAAAAATTATGCTCATTTATCGGAACCGCCGATATCGGAACACTATAGCATATAGCATATAGCTTAGCTATAGCATTAGTGAAGAGTTTTATAGCTTCGGCACGGATAATGCTTCGGTGCAAGCGAAGTTAACGCTTTCTCTTGTTTAAATTTGGAGAAGCTTAAATTAGAAGGTTAAAAAAAAAATTATAATAATGAAAATGTGCTTGTTTTGTATTTTCTGTATATCTGTAGAATGTTTTGGCCGATGTCAACTTCAAATATCAGGATAATTTGGTGGAAGGTAGCATAATTGCGCTTAATAATGCGAACGCCACAGAAACAACTGATAGTATGGAACCATTTGAAGTGCAGATATCTATTTATGGATTCAATGATACTGTACTGAATGTAAATCCATCGTATATACTGAATAGAGATCAGCAGTTCCAGGGCATACTTGGACCATATTCTAATGAAGATTTTGACTATGAAATGGATGATGATGACTTTGAAGAGGCGGATAGGAAGAACACAAGTGAAGAAGCAATAGATGAGCTGGAAGAAGATATGAGCTATACTGATGATTTTGGAGATCCTGATAAAATAATCGAATTGGGGATGCGGCAACAAGGTATGAATGATATTATATTTTCTAAAACGCTTAACTTTACATTTATGCGTAAACGTAAAATTCTTCGACAGATGATTACCTAGTGTATGAGACATACCAGACGTCACAAACTAATTCACCGGAGCCGTCAAACCACAGCGTCACGTTCTATTATATTGACAGCAATTTCATAACCTATGTGCGTTTCATAATATTCGATGTAAGTTGACTTTTGATGCAATATGAACAAAATTTGTGAGAATGTTTTTTATGATTATAAATTCTATTCATAGCACACTGTCAATAAGGCGTCAGACGATTTCACTCCACCAATAGCCGTGTACACTCACTTCTCTCCGAATAGCCTTAAAGCTACTATCACTGACGTCAATACCACTAACCTGTTTGTGCAGATGCTTATCTTTGGCTATCAGCCAGACGATCTTCCAGTCGGCTACAAGCCATTTTTATCGAGTGTCCTCGATTTTACAACCGAATCGCCGTTAGAGCGTTTGAAAATGCTACTGAATGCAAAGTTAAATAAAAACCAAGACGATTCGGGGGAGATCAATTTCGAAACAGGCGAAAGAAATTCATTGCCCAATAATAGTAGCACAACGGATGTGTCTACTAGAAACCATGTAAATGATTTTGCAGTATTCAATGTAATTATGGTTTGTTTCTTAGTAAACTTATATTTTTTTGCATAAATAAGTCGTTATAAAACGAAATCTAATTATAAAAGTAAAAGTGTTATGTGATTGCATGTATTATTAATATATGTATGTACGTATGTACATATTTTTATATTAACAAAACCTCCTTTATTTGCGTCCATATTTAATAACAACGCTGGGAACTGCAATGAGGGAAAGGAGCTTGAGGTAAGAGGTGATGGCTAAGTTTATGATTAAAAAATATTATTTCTTAGAATTTTTGTAATGATGACACTTGGATTACACGAAAAATTAAAAAAAAAGATAAAATACAGCCTTTGCTAGATTTTAAAATTACAAAAAAGTGTCGTGTGTTCAGCCTTTCATAGGATTAATACATATACCTAACTATTTCAGCAATTGTAAGAAAAATGCTTTCAACCACTTCATTTTGCAATGCTAAAGTGTGTAAAAATAATGGTTTAAAGGTAGTATTTTCTAAAATATATCACACTCGTTGATCTTTCTTGGTCTGTTTCTTCTAAAATTTAGCGAAACAACTAATTATGTCCTCGTATATTAGTTTAGGGAGAGATTTGATCAGGTTCCAATTAGGATTTTAAAAAGGATGTATATGTTTCTGTTCATTAAGCTTACCTCTGGAATATCATCAGGAACTTTACCCATCCATGAGAGCGACAGTATTGTGCAATCACATTTTGTATTCACACTCGGTTCGAAGTGCAGATGCATCCTGCCAAATCTATTGAAATAGTGTTATGCCTTAAGCTCGAGACGGAGTAAATCTACTTTCATTAGCGTCAACGGAAAATGAGTTCAAAACTGCAAGAAGAGATAAAAATATCATGAGCAATGCAGGATTATTTTTGTGTTTTATTCTTTGTATTAATATAATATATTATACAGAAAATAGTTCTTTCAATTATTTGCAATGCATTGAATGTTTGCAATTTTCATAATTAATTTCTAAAATCAGAATTTAATTTTCAGTTTTTAAAAACTGAAAATTTTATTTTTTAAGTTATTGTAACAATAATTTGAATTTTTTTTTGAAAATTGATTGATTAATTTAATAACAAAAATCGAAAACTGTAATTTTTATTTTAAATCCTAAACCACTTGGACTAATAATTGAGAAAACATTTTTAATTTAAAAATTCAAGTAATAAACTAAAAAAAATTAATTTTCAGATTAATAATGGAAATTTAATTAAAATTTTTTAGTCAAACATTTTGTGTTTTTCAGTTTTTAATTAATTAATCAAATTATTGTATTAAATAAAACTTTTGTGCAGCTATTATTGTTTTCTTGTTACTCATAACTTAACCAACTAAAACATACAAAAATTATTATGGTATAGCTTTTAGTACTTTGGTTTATCTAAAATCAAACTTTTGAATTTTTTAATAATAATTTTTATTAAGTAAATGGAGCTTTTCCTAACACATATATTGGTTGACATCAGACTTTCGACCAAACGCTATTATTTTCTAATATGGCAAATGTATGTTAATTAAGTAACCAAATTTTTATTGGCCAACCATGGGGCTGGTGCTGGTGGCGCGAAATCAAAGTTAAGCCTCGGAAAACATGCTTATATAAATGTAAATGTACATGTGTGGATTTACATATTATGTATTAAGTTAGGAATTTTAGTAAGTTGGCATTCATTTACATAATTTTAAAATAGTTTTTTTCAACACCATTTTGTTTTAAGTTACAAAATTATTTCTAAAGTTATGCAAAAAGGGAAATAATATTATATAAGTAGTATGAACAAACTATTTTTTACGAATTGTCGGTAAGTTTAACAAACATGAAATTGACATTGAACGAACAAAGTTATGCACACATGTACATATGTAGCTCGTATTTACATAATTTCCTGCTGGTATTTACTAAGGGCTTAGTTCAATGTACAATTTTAGTACATGAGAAGGTGTAACACAGTGGTTGGGAAGACAATAAAGGTGTTAAAACGATTTAAACACTTTTTCTATTACTAACCACTTACGTACTTATATACATATATATTATATGTATTACATATATGTACAGTATATAAGCATGTTGGAAAAAGTTTCCTAATACATGCATAAGAATGCATTAATGCATAGGCATACACACAAGCAAACACTTAACAGGACAATTTTCATATAACTAAATTAAACTTACCTAATTTTTATGATATTTGCGTTTCCTAGTAGTTGTTTATGTGTTTTCACTTTAAGTTTTTATGCATTTCTAATGCATACAAAATCTACTAATATTTCCATATAATGTCTGAATGCAAAAAGCCCATTTTGTATGAAGAAAATTCAATAACTACATGCTAGTGTATGTATGTTTGTATGCACACATGAGTGTAGGGTTATTTATGCACAAGAACCGTTTTATGTTTGTACAAAACTCGCCACTCTCAATCCGTTTTGAAAAGGATGACGGATCCGCTTAGACTTGTCTACACGAGGCCAAACTTCAAAAGACACTGACATCGTCGCTATTTTATTTTAACCATTTAATCCACCACACCTACTACAAATGTACTATGTACAATTGCCATTGATGCTATTGTTAACTGTGGGGATGGGAGCACGCTTGCGCAATGCAGATATAAACAGAAGAGTCAATGTTTGTAGGAAATGCTGTGTTATAATTTCCTATTTATGTCTGTATGTAATATGTCTGAATGTCGCTATTCCTTATCACTGTTAAACTGGTAAAGTGTCAAGTGTTGGCATTTTCATATTTTACTCGTTGTAGATTGAGCTTCTGTTGGAGGCAATTTGAAAAATCGATTTTCATTCTGAAGTCATAAAAATATGTTAATGCTTAAAACAAATAGCATTTTCAATTATTAATGCAATATCTGAATATTTATTTATGTAAAACTACGTTGCAGCACACTATATCTATTCATTTACACATGCAAGTATTGAAGCACAGTGATTGTATAAATAATTTATCATTGTGGCATATATTTCTTTTTTTCCACACATAATTATACTATTAAACTAATGTATAAATCACTTGTTAAAATTTATTTAAATGCCAACATTCGAACCGTTACAATATTAATGACTGTCATTCCGATACTGGAGCTGTTAAGCTTTCCTATTTTCAATTACAAGAGCCGCAAATGTCAAACTTGCTTCATGAGCTTTAACTCACTGTTTGCATGACTGTGCAAATGTATATGTAACATCGTTTTTTAAAGGACATTAAAATTAGTATTTTTTTCTATTTTATTGCAAGAAAAATATAATTTAGTTATGTTTGTACTTAAAGCGAAAATTTGTTATTCTTACCGTGTTGGTTCCCTAAATTGTATATACTGTTTAAAATTACAATTAGAAAAATTCTAATATACTGTTTTGAAGAAATACTTTACAGTTACCGGATACTTAAAACACATTTTTTATTTGAATAAAAGATTGCACTAAAACTTATAGTTTGTTTATTTACTTGGTTCTCCTCAATTAATCTAAGCAGATACAATTTCTTTCTCATATAATTTTGCTTGTTATGAATTGAACTTTTAAAAACTGTTTTTCATGCGAAAAATTACAAAGTTCAACATATATCTGTATGTACAAGTTTTATTATACGCATATCTAATTAAATTTTTTTTTGAAAATAACACATTTTGTATTACACGTTTTTCATAAAGAAATATAAGCGAAGCTCTTCTCACTTAATGCTATTCACAACTTAATAGAGAAATACATACGCTATTTAGTATTTTAATAACATACGCATGCAAACAGAAAGTAAAATATTCTATAGGCATCTATCATTTTCAACTTAGAGCTTCGTAATGATGCCCATTATTCTCCGTCGTATGATGTGCAGTAGTTCCATGTACCATTGTCGTTACTGGTTGATTTATAATGAATGCATTACCGACGGCCCCCGGATCGGAAGACACAACAACTGCAGTAGCAGTGGCTGCACCAGCTGCAGAGGTATTGGCTTCATTTTCGGTGAGCGCTCGTAATTCCAACTCACAGATCAATTGTGATACACGCATTTTAGTTTCGGCTATCAGCTTCGGAGATAACGCTTTAACACTGGAACTGACGCTTTCAAAAAACAAATCAACGTGATTTTTTTCTTTTTTTGGAGATGGCTGACCCGGTGCTCCCATAAGTTCTCGAAATGAATCCATGAGATCGTTTTTATCCTTTTGTATTTGCATGAGCAGTTTCATTCGTTCCTTTTTAACACCGGCCTTTTTCGGATTACCACGCAATTTCTCTTGTTTTAATGCTGTATTCGCTGGTAGTGGATCAGTTTGCCCATCAGCAGATGTAATTTCCTGTTTCAAAACTGTTTCTTCCGTATATTGATCGCCTGGTGCAGACTCCGCTTGAACAAACTGAAACGCCGTTTCGGCTTCAGGTTCCGCTCTGTAAAATATATAAAAGCATATTAGGGAGAGATAATGTTAATTACTTTTTGACAACATACTCCTCAATAAATTCATCAGGTGTGTCAGCGCCAAGTTCGGAAGCATCTTGGGAAGATGCAAGAGACGAATTAAACTTCTTGCGTTGTTGATAGTACTTGCTACGTTCCTGCCTTATGCTTAGATTCTGTCGGGCAGCACCTTCTCCTTTGCTTACGAGAATCTCCAAGTTACGTATATGTTTTGATGTTCGTTCGTGACGTTGTAGGTGGCAGCGGTTACAATCTAAGCGACATTGACATGCTCGGCAAAATGGTTTATTGGGATCATCTTCGCAACGCGTAAGCCACGGATTAAAGATATTCAGCCATTTCTGGCAAAACTTTTGCGCGTATTTTTGTTTACTTTGATGTTCCTGTTTTATGGACTTGCTTTTCATTTTTGACTCTTTCCTGTCAAGATGTGTTTAAGACGATTGGTTAAAATCAGATTTGTTGTTACAAGAAGCTCGAAAATATGCACAAACTTACCAATCCAAATCTGAAGAATCGTCAGTAAAACTCATACCGAAATCTTAACTATTATTTATTAGTTATTATTTTAATAATTAGTTGAAGTGCTGTATTTATTAAAAGATCTGTGCGCGTCTTCTAAAATAACCCACAACAGGTTGCCATATGCTTGAAACTGAGAAATTTGTATTCTTAGTCAATATTAACAAATTATAATTTGCGGCGTTTTCCGATGAATTTTTGGTTTAAATGGTAAAATATTTGTTTGTAATTTATTAATACACACCAAATTAAAGCTTATGTTAATACGTATCTTCATTATCTTATTTCAAGAAAATCTTTCAACACTATTGCTATTGTGAATACATTTAACGAATGTCAAAAAATAAAAGTAATAGCAGAGAATGTAAACAGAGAACAGAGAATGTAGAAAATCCAGAGAACTTAGAAGAACTTCTCTATAATCTACATTAAGAGAATATATTTGACATTCTCTGCCACATTCTTTGGTAATATTAGGGAATACATTTTATATTCTCTGGTAATATACGATAAAATAATTTTAATAAACTTTAGAACGTGAAATGAAGACAAAATAAAATTCGAAACCAAGAATTTAAAAATCTTCCATTCCTTCACACATAAATGATAAAGAAAAAATATTACTAAATTTCAACTTTGAGGAATAACAACCTAATGATAGTTAATTAAAAAATTTTTTGTTTCAAAGTAATGCTTACAGTCTGGCTATGCCATATGAAAATCAAAACAGTAGGAAACAGAGATGATAAACCGGATAGAAGTGAGATAAGCAAATAAAATCTGAAACATACTGGAAGAAGAATTTAAGTCGTCATCCATTAGTCAATTTGCAAACTACGAAAAAAGTTTAAAAGTTCTTTAATATATATTTGTTTCGTCTATAAAAATTGTGAAATGTCTAGAATACTTGCTGTGCCGCCCAAAAAACCGTCTGAGGTCGACATCATTAAACCGCTAAATAATCTCATTCAAAGTACCTATAGTGGAGCAAGTACCGAGGAAAAGACCAAATATTCGGAAGCTGTAAATGAATTCTCAAAACAACGCAACACAGCAATATGGAAGTTCTTCGAAAAATATGAATCGTCCCTCGAGGTAGTTTATGCGTAAGTATCTAAATAAATTAAATGTGTAATTGGAGAATACTAGTATTTGTGTACATGTATGTATGTATACTCGTATGTGTTAAATATTTCAATTGAAGTCTTAAGTACCTATGAGGGGTTTTGACCATAACAAAAATGAGTCATGATTTCTTTTATAACTCTTGATATTCGACAATTCATATATAAAAAATGGTAAGCGCATAGTGCAATGAACTAAATAGGTATATACACTTTTATAAGTTATTAAAAGTATACATATATGTACGTGTTTAATAATGTTTATTGCATGATCGCTTACTTACGCGTTTCAATTTTGTAATAGTGTACACATTCCACTTTCAAACATTTTAATTGCTTCAATTGTTTGTACTTCTATAGTTATTATGATCAAATATGTTCGTTGGAAACCAAAATTCCTGTAAATGAACTTCAAATCCCTTTTAAGTGGAAGGATGCATTTGACAAGGGCTCAATTTTTGGCGGCCGCATAAGTTTGAGTAAGTGTAACTTAACAAAGTCTAACTATTATGTTTTTATATATATAAAATCTTAGCTCATACATCACTGCTCTACGAAAAGGTATGTGTGCTGTTCAATATTGCTTCATTACAAAGCAGTGTGGCAGCCTCACAGGCTTTGGATAGCGACGAAGGTTTAAAGCTTGCATTGAAGTTGCTCCAGCAAAGTGCAGGTATATTTCAGTATCTTAAAAGTGCTACACCCGCTGCCATACCTTCTGAACCCACTCCCGATTTGAGTCAGGACACATTGATTTGTTTGCAAGCATTAATGGTGGCGCAGGCGCAAGAGGTTTTCATTTTAAAAGCCATCAAAGGTAACAAAATATTCCCACTGTTTATTTCTTTATTATATGTATAATTTTTTAATTTCAGACAACATGAAAGATCAAATTATCGCTAAGCTTTGTTGCCAGTGCGAGGAATTCTATGCCGATGTATTGCGTGCCATGCAAAAGGAGAGCGTGCGCAATATTTGGGAAAAAGAATGGATTCCTGCCATCGCAGGTAAACAGGCAGGCTTTCACGCCCTAACACATCTATATCAGAGTTTGGCATGCCGCGCTGCAAAGCGTATTGGCGAGGAAATTGCACGCTTGCGTTCGGCTATTGAGTTATTTAAAGCGGCTCAAACACGTTCCGGGAATGCTACCTATCTTGATGAGTACTTTAGTCGTGCTAGGCGAAATCTAGAGGAATCAACAAAAGACAATGAGTTCATCTACAACGAAATGATACCGGATGTAAATTCCTTGCCATCACCCGGAAAAGCGCAGCTTGCTAAGGCGTTGCCATTGACTTCACCATTGGCTGTTAACTTTAGGGATGTTTTCTCTGAATTAATTCCAGTTGAGTTACATCGTGCATTGACTGCATCCGACATGCGTAAGAATGAAATTGTGAATGGAGAAATAATGAAGCTTCGTGAGGCCACCCAGACCTTAAATGGCGTTCTAGCTAGTTTGAATTTACCAGCAGCTATTGAGACTACCGACGCCGGCAGTGGCTTACCACCCTCGCTTCGTGAAAAGGCTATCGATGTTCGCAACAAAGGCGGTATCGACAGCATAAATACTTATCTGAAGGAACTGCCTGAGTTATTGCAACGTAATCGCGAAATATTGGATGAAACAGAGCGCTTATTAGATGAAGAACGTGATTCTGACAATCAATTGCGAAACCAATTCAAGCAAAAGTGGACTCGAATTCCCTCTGACAAGCTTACGGAAATGTTCCGGACAAACGCGAAAAAATATCGTGAAGTAATCACAAATGCTGTTGAAGCAGACAAAATTGTGCGTCAAAAGTTTGAGACTAATCAAAAGGTACGAGGTTTTCTGGGTTAATTTCACTATTAATTTCATTGACTTTATTTAATATATGAAATAATATCATTTATTTTCTATTTAGGGCATAGAATTGCTTTCGATGGCTCCGGAACAAATCCAGGAAGCAATGCCCGCAGCTAGAGGTAACGTCGATCAGAACTGCAGCAGTGTGCGAAAATTGAAGAGTCTTATGGAAGCTGTGGAAACTATAAAAGCTGAACGTGATTCCATAGAATTAGAGCTAAAGTCTGCTTCGTTTAATATGAAGAATGAATTTTTGTCAGCATTGCAAAAGGATGGCGCTATAGATGAGCCAGCAATTTCCCTCTCGCGTATCGGTCAAGTATTAAATCCTCTGCAATCGCAGGTAAAGGAGAGTGTAGAACGTCAGACGACACTGATTAGTGACATTCAGGAAGCTCACGAGCAATTCGCTTCAGAAACCGGTAGTTGTGGCAGTTCACGCGATAAGCTCTATCAAGAATTGGCGACCGCCTATGACAGTTTTATTGAGTTACTGGGTAATTTGAAAGAAGGCACCAAATTCTATAATGATTTGACTGAGCTGTTGGTGGTTTTCCAAAATAAAATATCAGATTTTTGTTTTGCGCGTAAAACCGAAAAGGAAGAACTTTTAAAAGACTTGACAACTGAGTCCAGTCGACCAGCAATAGGCCCAACACCAACATTGCCATCACATTACTCGTCTACGTCAGGAAATGGTATTTTGTTCAGTATATTTTCTTTTGTTTATTGGTTTAAAACTTATTTTTATTTAATAGATGTAAGTCCATCCAGTTCAACATCCTCGGTTCCGGACGCCCCAGCACATTCGGCCGGAAATGTGCCCTACCCCCATCAGATGCAAGGCATGCCGATGCCATATGGTGCCACACCGAACGTTCCATATCCAACCTATGTTCCGCCACCAATGCCGCAAGGATTTAATCCTTATGCAACGCTGCCTTATCCAGGATGTATGCATCATATCTATTTTTGTACCTACAGCAATTAAAAATATTTTTACTTTGTCTTTATATAGCGCCTTATCAATATAGCGGTTTCCCACAGGGGCCACAACCCGGACACTATGGAACTTATCCTGGGAGTTTTGCTCATCAACAGGGTGGCTATCCTAATCAAAAACCTCCAGGCTGGTAAAAAGTGTGTTGCACATTCTAATTCTCTTCCACAACAACAATGTCTTGTTATATTATACGTCTTTATTTTAATATTTCCCCAAATCGGTGGAAGGGAGCATTTTTTATTATTCTAAAGTTTTGCACTTGAATTCACTTATCGAAATTATTTAGTATTATAGTCCAAGCGTACTGCAATATTACGAAATTCATATTTACTTGTACACATATATAAATGTATATGAAAATGGAATAACCGAAGCTTCAATTAATAATAAAAATCATGTTAACTGAAATGTTCTTTTATTACACACTTTACTTTAAATATAGTTGATTACTGTCCATAGCGCTTAAAAAAGCCCTTTTTGATTTGTTCTATAACCGACGGTGCACAAACACTGTTTATCAGCGCTCTTTTAATATCACATAAAGGATTAGCATTGTTGGTTTGTGTTGCATTGAAACGTTTCGCGTTTTGTTTAAGTAAAATTTCATAATCATTTCTTTGCATTGGTGACACACATTCTATCATTCCTGCTGGTAAATCTTGAATTAGTTTTTGAGTTTCCTGTTCGTTTATATATTGATAAGGATGACGAGTTACATTAAGTCTGCGCGATTTTGGCGTCGAACAATCCGTTTTTAAGTTCTTGCATAAGTATTCTAAAATTGTAAATATTTCAGCATCACTTTCAATCTCATTCAACTGTAAAAAAGATATTTCCAAAGTTATAAACTGCTTCTTTTTATTTATTTATTTAATAAAATCATGTACCTGATTAGGGTTTAGAATATACTTTTGTTCTTCCTTCATTCCACTTTGTACGAAGCGCTCAATTAATATTTTAACAATGCACTCTTTTAATTGTTCTTCTATGTCATTCTCTAAAGGTATCCAATAATTAATGCTAAATGAGATATCTACTGCCTCTACATAATGCCACCAATGTCTGGGCACGACTAATACGTCATTCGCATTTAATATGCACCGGTAGACTGATTCATGCATTTCTGATAAACGCTGAAGCTCTTTCGTATTTGGTGCATAAAAATTTTCCTCACAATAAACACTGGATTCTTCATAAGGTATTCTTGTGCAAGAGAGAGGTGTGTTAGGAGGAAAAAGTATCCATGACTTTCTGTGTAATAAGTTGGGTTTTTAAATTAATTAGTTAGAATATTTTTCTTGGTAATCTTACCTTCCATAAACTTGTACGACTATATTACATCCGTAAGTATCATAGTGGCAAGGAGTATTCGTTTGTGTGGAGCACAACCAATAATTACACTCGTTCGTAGTATCGCTAAAACCTAACCTAGAAAAGTCAATACCTTCTTTAAGCACATTTGGTATATTGTTCATTCTTTGATAATTCAATCCAATCCAAAATTTATCTGTAAAAGTCTTTTGTTTTTCTAAAAATTGTGACAAGCTCATTTGTATAGATTCTCTGCGGCATTCCCAGTGTGGCGTATTGTTTCCTTGGTTACAAGGCATTAGCTCGAATTCCGTCAATGAATTCACTTCTTTGTCGTAATTTGTACACCATTCCTCTAGCGATTGTTCAAAACATTTCCAATTCATTTTAAAATTACGAAGCACCAACGGTTTCCGGGCGTTTAAAATCAGTGTACGTAATTTATGTGCTTCCGTATCAGGGTTAAGGCCAGTTTGCGCCATGATATTTACTGAAAAATCACTTGTGTTTAATAATAATGAAACTCTAAAATAAATAAATCAAATTGTTTTTAATATTTGTTTAACTTTAAGCTTATACAAATTGATAAAATGACTTAGGAAATGTATAAAAGTACTACGAATATGGGTAAAAAGCGGATATAATTAAATTTCTCTTATCTGTCACTTCCAGACAGGCTTACCACATAAATGATTACAGTACAACTGAAAATATCTGCAAATTCAGATTGAAAATTTGCTTATTTTTGGGAGTCGCTAATACAATACAATGTTTTATTAGTTATTATTTAAATTTTTTAAAATTGTTGTGACAGTTTAAATAGACTTTGCTGAATAGTTATTAGCAAAGAATGTAAAATCTACATTCTCTGTTATTAGTATTATATTAATTTTGTATGATTGGCAACGCCAATTTATTATTTTCTGTGTATTGCTTTATTCCGCTAAATTAAAGAAAAACGCTTAAAGATGCTTTGTTAAATGTAGCTAATCACATATTTGAAATTAGTGAATATTGGTTTAGTAATTGTTTAATATAAGTATATTGATAGAAATGTGCCAATTATATAAGAAACACTTGTAATATATATTTCTTAAAGAATCCAAAAAGTATTTTTTCATAAATTTATTCAAAACGGTATACCGACAAATGACAGTCAGATCCGGTTCACGACTTCCAGCAATATCCATAAGTTCAAGCATAAAATTACAACCAGTTGAGGAAACTGCAGGGATATTAACAAGGTTTGTATTGTGTGTGCATATTTAAACAAAAAATGTTTGATTTATATTTATTGGTTATATTTAAGTATAGATACCATGTACATTGAAATAATATACTTAAAAATATCAGTGCGTAGAATTGACATCGTATAGACTTATCTAGTTGCGTAATACCTGTTTCAACCATATGTTTTATAATTAAATGTATAAAAATATTTTCTTGAGCTTATGAGTTAAATATTCAAATATACTTTAGTTGTCTTAAAAGTCTTATGTTGGTGCATTAACCCAATGCCTGGTTAAGCATTAATTGAAAATGAATAGGACCTTGGGGAAGTTACCGTTAATATGTTATATAATATGTATGGTATGTATGATAGGTAACCTGTTCCCTTCGTAGGACTCACTACCTCCTTATATAACTTACATAAGTATGAAATTATGTAGTTTGTATGTGATGAATGATCTTGTCTGTGAAAAATGTAGTTTTTTTAATACTTATTTTTATATAATTTGTTGTGTGTACAATTGTATTATTCATACTTTTATGACTTTTTTGAGCATTTGCTCCCAAAACGTATACAAATGCAGAAAGTAATGTATGTTCACATCATCTTATATGCATTTAATTAGCGTATAAATTTTTATATTGTATGCATTCCTAATAGTTATGATACTTGTAGAGTATACCATAGTTTAAAAAATAGCAACAAATTCCGGAAACAAAAAATATAAATTGTTGAATATTCTATGAATTGTTTTCCACAATTAAATTGTTATTTTAGTTTCATGATTTTTTTGCAAATGTGTATGCATACTGCATCTGCTTAAAAAAATTTGGGTTTTTAAATTAAATTTTGTTTTTAGTTAAAAGTTTATTATACCATGAATCTAGTTAGAACATAAGTGTAATTACCAGTTCTTTAAGAAGACGTCCAGTGCCGGTAATTAGTCAGTCTCTTTTAATATTTAGGAAAATAAGTCTGGAAAATAGGCTTTCCATGTAATACATTTAAAGGTGCAGAGTGATTTTCCATTGTGTTTGGAAAAGAAATACCGCCACCGAATTCCTACTCTAATACAGTACAATAAATTTGTTTTGAAGTTTTGAGTGCATTACTTAATTTTTAACGTTTTCTTCTTGCTACCTTATTCGTTGTTTATAGCGCTTCAAATATACATACATATGTATGTATGCGATTTGATCAGGATGTTGTAAATAGTTGAACCGTTATTCTTCAAATACTGCATCATGGTTCAAACTCAAAATAAAAATAACATACATTTTATTGTCTTTATAACACCATATTCTTATAATAAATGTCTCTATTTTTATTTTCTTTTATAACATAGAAGCCTTTCGGCTTTCCGTTACCCGAAAAGTATCGATTAAAGCTATTTTTCTTAACTGCGGCAGTGGGCGCATAATAAGAGGGCGATTTATGCTTAAGAGACTTTTTGTAATTCGATTTGTATGACTTTTCGATGCTGTCATTTTCCCAAGGTTTTTGAAAATGTGAAAATCTCTTGAAATTTATAACATATTTTTTGCCGTTGACATCAGTGAGTGGTAGTGGCTGTTTATTTCCGAGAATCTTCTGCAACACTGGCAGGTTCCAGTGGTAGATACGTCCCGGTTTGCCATTAGAGTTAAACGGAAAGGTCGACACCTGAATCGTGAATAAAATACATAATATTTATGTCTATTTAGTTATATGTATTCAATAAGATTTTAATCTAGTACTTACATTCGTTTTCTGTGAGTTGTCAATTATGCTATTGGCTTCACCTTTTGGATTTGTGTAATAAACAAAATTCGGTGGCAGTTTTATAATGAACATATGTGAATCATCTGGAGACGAGTGACGTCTTGATTCCACAGCTAGACGTTTTCTATGGTGACTATTTGGGGCTTTCACTTTGGTAAAACCCAGTTTTCTGAAAAATAATATTTGATTACCTACAAAATTATATTAATAATATAGTTTTAACTCACCTTAGCATTTTCTTATTTAATGTATGAGAGTTTTTGGGCAACATTTTAGAAGTATCCGAGTCATGTGATATAACAGTATCGGTGTTAAAGCGTCGCTCCATCGATTGTTGTCCATAAAGACGAGATAGCACATTATTTTTCGTCTCCTTAGAATTGCTTTTTAATTGCAATTTACTTTTGTCTTTAGTAAACCAATTTTGGAGTACATATGCCGGTGGTTGAGTCGATTTTGTGATTTCATCTCTCCTACTGCTGTTCACACCAGTTTCACATTGTGCGAAATTGTTGAAAAATGCTAAACAGCATAAGCTGAAAGAGTTAATTTTTAACACAATTTTATTTTATATTTGTATGAATTCAGAAAAATAAGTATTTCCTGGACGCAGAAGCGGGAACTTGTATTTAAGCTTTTTAAAATTGTAGTCAATATTTTCTCACTGTGCCTAGATGGAACATAGAGAATCTTCTAATAGGGGAAAAACGGAAAACACACGAAAACATTATAGAAAATTTGTATAGAAATATAATATAAGATATATAATCTATTTCTTCTGTTTACACATTGTATTTCTATAGTCGTTAAATGATGTGGAGAAGTGGTGCAGGGGTAGATTCAAAGAATTTAAATTCAGAAATACCCTTTCATACCCTTACAATCTATTAAGGGATTATATTTATCCGTGAATTTGAAAAATTTAATTTTTTTCGTATACATCGAATGTACATATATGTATTTTAAAATATTCTTCGAAAATTTGTAGTTGATCCGACTTATAGTTTGGGACGTATGAGGTATTCGTGAATATTTTTAAACTTAGTGTAATCGGCTCACAAAACTTTATATGCGCTTTTCTTGAAACACAGTTTTCAGAGTCGGTGAGAAAAATTCCTCCGAAACGGCTAAACCCATCGAGTATAATAGTTTTGTCCACCTAAAATCGAGTTAGATAAAGGGTTATATTTATATAAATTATCAGGATGATGAGACGAGTTGAGTTTCGAATGACTCTCCGTTTAACCGTTTGTCCGTCCGTGCGTTTGTGTAAGCGATAAGTTAAGTAAAAAGTAAGATATCTTGATGAAACTCGGTACACATACAATAATAATAATACATAATCGGACCACTGCTACTATGGTTAAATAGGTTAAATCAGATCATAATCATACCAAGTCCCCATATAACGGTTTTGTTAAAAACTACTCAAAGTGTGATAAAATATTAACTAAATTCGTCAGAGACATTTAATTTTACATCTATGATGGCACAGGAGGGCTTTGTAGGGGCCGGTGTCAAAATTGAACGAAGAGCGTGGCAGCGCCTACTATAACATCCAGTATTCTTATGTTAGGGTATGAAATGCAGGAAATCGGATTACAACTACGCCTACATCCCTTATAACATAATTTACAATTTTATTTGATTTTTTCACATTCTAGTTTGCACCAATTAATATAACGGGATAAAACTTTGAACATGAAATGAAACCCAGGTAGCATTTTGTTGTATGTGGCAAATTTATAGCATGTGGTATTGGCAAAAATACTCCCAACTCTTACATAATACATATAATTTTTTTTCGTTTTTTTAACATGTCTTATGGCGAATGTGTCGTTAAGTGTGTAAAGTATATATATAAAAAATTGCTTGAAAATATGTTCTCAAGAGCACTTGAGCAATGTCTACATTAACGCAATCAAGCCGTCCCTTTCTCTGCCCCAATATACAACATATAATGATTTCAGCCTTTCCATCTCACTTCAAACCGTTCAGGCTGGTCAAAATGTAGTACTTTAATGAAATTTAATGGACAAGTTTTCATAAAAATTGTGTGGTTTAGCGCTAAATTAGAATGAAATTGGTCTAGACTTCATATCCTAAATATACCGACTTGCGATCCTCTGGTTGACGTTTTCCACATCAACTTAATATACCATATATTAAATTTAGTCTCTTCGGTTGATCTTATTGTTCTTCAATATAAGTCAAGAAGTTACCAAATTTGATTGTAACTTGTTCACGATACAGTTTTGCCAGCACCTGAAGACATTTGATTCTTGCAAGTTGCAAGATTTAAAATGTTCGGTTACACACGTACTTAGCCCTTTTTTACTTGTTGATAAATATTTATATATTTTAAGCCACTCTAAAGTGCAAATTTTTTCACAAAAAACTACTTTTTTTAGAAAACCTTGTTTCGGAGATCCTCCTGGAGTTCGGTTATGGGATCAAGGAAATCCAAAATGATTCACCGATTTTTAAAGAACATTAAATTCTGTAAACGTAAATTATTTTTAATTAATTATTAAATAAAATGCCTACACCTATAGTCCATCTAAAATCGGTTATATGCGACTGTTGTCGACATACAAGAATACTTCTATTTACCAGTAGCTCATATACCGCCCAAAGAATTTCTTGTACAGCATCGATGTTTTTTCGGCAATTTTGATTTAGAACTGAGTTCTACTCGAAATCGTAAAAGATTACAGCAATGTATCATGTTTTGCTTTTGTAAACTTTTAGATCAGTTTTTGGACCATCTCTTGTTTGATTTTCTTTAAATAACATGCACGAACTGCAATTGTAATACTAAATCTAGTTAATCGATTTGATGAACTGTAAATGGCATGGTTCCAGTTGGGTGCCTTTGTAAATGCCGCCACACTCGCGCACACACACCGACATATACATATAACCGCAAAGCAAGCAATTGGCAATATATTCCTATTTAACAAATTATCAACGACCGCTGGCGCAGATCCAATATCAAGAATTCGTAGATGCAATAATAATGAAATACCTCTCGACGTGCTTAACATACTTACACATATTTACGTGCATATCTATGTACCATAAGTAGGTGCATGAGTAGAAGTCGCTGTAGTTCCAGAAATGCATGCGATAAAAAGTGAGAACTTCAAATGAGTTAAGCAAAATAAGAAAATGATTGTGGAACAAAAGAAAAACAAGTTCACTAGGAAAGACACGGAGCACCCATCTAGATACATATATATATATATCCACGTACATCGATATATAAAATTTACATAGTTACATACAAATATGTGCAAGTTCTTACATTAGATTAGTCACAAGTGCATAGTTCTGGAGTCGATGCTTTGTTGCACTTAATTTTGAAGTAGTTATTATCTTTTCTCTATATTGGGCAAATATCTCTCTGGTTCACAGTGGAACTCGATTGTTTAAAATTTGGACAGTGGCGAATCGAACAAGCAACTGTCATAAATGTAAAAATTGGTATAGTCTATGGGACAAAAGCCTCAATATATCCGATATGTTACACTCATAAAGTGTTGTTGTTGCTTAAATTTACATATATAATTTTTTGACAAGCGAATAAATCCCAAAAATTGAGAGCAAAACAATAATAAATGGAAGACATCTTCAATAAATGATAGCTTGATTTTTTTTGCTTGGTTTTCTGTTACTTAAAATTCACGTATAAACCGATCGCCCTAATGTATATTTTTGCTCACATGTAAGTACATATGTCTGCATGTGGGAAGACTTTTTGCCTCGATGCAAAATTTATAAATGCACACATATATTTTGTGAACTCACACATACATATGTATGTCGGTGCATATGCATATATGTAGATGTGTAGTTCTGTATAGAAGGCACCGCACCACCACTGTATCTGTGAGTAGTAATAAATTGTGTGTGCTTTAAAAGAATAAACAAAATTTTTGCATTGTTAAGTCAACAACACAGGTATGGGCACAAATATTCACTGGCATACACTTTTCATACGCCTCTGTTATGTACGAGTATTTACCTAGAATATGAAAGAGAATATCAGCATAATTTTATATTTTGACAAGCCACCATATTTTGTAATTTATGTTGCGATTTGGACTTGAACCACAGCTGAGTTGCACGAAACGCTGATGAGCAAACAAAAAAATAAAATACATACAAATAGCTGCAGATAAATACAAGCATATACATATGTACATATGAATACGAGTATATTGGGCGATTGCCATTGTTAAGGAGTGGAAAAAGCTAGTGCCTTGTAAAAGGGGTTCCTTTGTTGTATTTTTATATTTTGATTCGAAAAATATCAGAATTGATGGTACTCTTGGAAATTCAGATGGGAAGAGGATATAAAGACCGCTTATTGGAATTAGTTTTTTCACATATATCAAGATAACCAAATTCTGCAAGAGGTTTTCAAAAGTGGATGTGAAGTGACAAGAGATCACTTATTTCACCGCTGAGTTCGATTCATGAGAGTGTTAGCATTATGCATTTTCTGAAAGCGTTCTTGTGAGGTTTATATTTGCTAGATAACGCTGAGATAAAGTCGCTTCGAAAAATAGTATTTACGGTTAGTCTACACTCAAATTTGAAATATATATGTATTTTGGTTCCGCTAGATGACACTGGAACCAATTTATTTTCATAATTAAACTGTAACCATTAGTAACTTATGAATGGCAAGGGTTAAGAAATAATTTTATGAGATTTTTTTTAGTAGACAATTCAATTTCCTACAAAAATATGAGACGAGATATTTTTTTCAAAACGTTGGTACTGAGATACGAGTGATACTTTTTTTTCCCAATAATAATGATAGATAGGAAGCTGAGGAGCTCCCCAATAATATTATGAGTTCATATTTGGAGGGAATTGTTTTGCGTTCTCTACAGACGATAAAATGTAAAGAAAAATAATTGGATTTTTTGAACCATCCTGATATATAAGTATACATAATCTCCAACGGAGTACTTCATTGAATATTAATAAGAGCTTAACAATGGACAAAATGATATAAATAAAATATATAATGAATACAAAAGGATAACATCGATGTATCGACATGAATAGATAATTGTTGCTGGCGACTTCCACACCGGGAGCATCCAAAGGACTAGACATTCATACATATGTACATACATGCATACTAATATTTATATATTTGTATGCTTATGCATTAATGTATTCATATTATATACTTGCTGTGTGGCATTTGCCAAGAAATTTCGGTTCTACATAAGGAGACAAAGGCATTTATGATGAGCTCACACACATGCACGTACACCTGGGTGCATGACGTTGTATTTCAAAATTTTCGCAGTTCATAAAACCAAAGAAAGAAGTGGGTGTGGTTGAACGCAAGGAATTTTTGTAAAATAAAAGAGCACCACTTAAATTCAATGATAATATTTCAATTCTGAAAAGTTTGAGCTCTACTCCCCTCTGTTAATGGATGGCGTGTGCTTTGATTATTTGCATCACGTGACTCTTTCACTGGGTGGTTTGTGGTCAAAATGCAACAAGAAGTTTGCCTTTTGTAATTCAATAACTCAGACAGTTTGAAATATTTCACATTATGACTAATAGTTTCTAAAGACCGCCTCCAGACAGTAATACCACTTGCTCTTTTCACATACCTACCTATGCAAGTGTAAGGAACGCATAAACTTACTTATGGTGCATTCCTTTGTGATGAGTTAGAGGCTGTAAACCTGATTTGAAATTAGCGATGCGCTGTTATCGCATTAAGGGATTTCAACATCAAAGTAAAATTGTATGAATAAAACTGGTGATCAACTCTGAAAGATAACATAAGTGAGGTTCAAAACTAAAGAAATTCTGATATTGTGTATTTATTAGCATTACTTGCTTGAGACTAATGGTATTATAGTAGCTTTTTCCACCATATTTCGAGCCATAAATAAAATAGCCTTTATATAAAAAATAGTATATGAAAACTGACATAAGAACTTGGTTTTCAAGTAATATAAAAATTTGGAACTCGAAAAAGCAGTATGAAATCTGTTTTTTAAAATTCACAAACTTATATTAACGTTTGTTAATTATTTTAAATTCTAACTTTTCTAGGATTCTCATACTTCTTGAATAAAAATTTTAACAGATACATTTTGAACTTAAGTGAGTTCTGCTTAAGTCTTGCCAACGAAAAGTCCCCAATAACTCTGAGACAATACCGCATATGTATATGTAATCCCCAGCTAGAGCCAGATAGACTTTGGATAAAAAATATACTTATACATATACAAAGTTCTAAAGATTCTTAAAAGTACAATAACATTATTATTTCGAACTCGAAAAACGTTTCTGAAGTATATTTTCTTAAATATCAAACAAATAGATCTGAAAAAAGTATGTATGTAGTATAAAAAAACTTCGTACAGGGTCTCTAAATCTTTGGATAATATATATTGAAGACGTATTCAGCTTATGTTGATAAAAAAACTGTTAAGTGTGCTCAATGGAGTGTTTATGAAAAGATGAGAGACTTTCATATATAAATGTTTTAATTATTAAAAAGAAGATCAAGTTTTTATCACTCATTTCTTACTAGCTGATCGGGCAATTCAAACCAATTGGTTCTTTTTATGTATCTTTGAATATTAAGATTTTTTAAGTAAATCTTCGCGATATCTTCAAATTCAAAGTCGGTCCTATTGTTCCTGAGTTATTAAATGTGTAACTAACCTCACTTTGTTTTATTTTTATAGTTGTTGTATAAATTGAGTTATAATATAAACAAATTGTAGCAAATATAACATATATGTACATGTCAAGTAAAATCTAGCTATATAAATAAGCTCACTGAGCGTCTTTATTATTTACACACACTTAGTAAACTTTTATTGGTTAAGAGGTTGTATTTTTGATATATCCTTCGAAAATTTGAAAATGGTCTCTCAAATAGTTTCGGAGATATGAGCGTACTAGTAGGAGTTATTTAACTTAGTGTAATCGAGTCTCAAAATTTTAAACGCGTTTTGCTCGAAACGCTGTATTACCGAATGACTTGAAATTTTCACACGATCTGCTTAGATATATTTGTCAGGTAATGATAAAAGGAATAAGAATTTTAATAAAAATTTTAATTTTTTTGATTAAAAAAACAGTTTTTCTGACTTGCAAGTTTGTATAACCTCTCAAATAACGTAAATAAACTAAAAGGTTTCAATATTTGAAAATATTATTAGCAATATTTATTATAACAGAAATAAGATACTTTTACAGTTTTTTCTATTTTAATTCAATTTACAACAAGTGTCAATTTTTTGGTTTTTGTTAGCCTTTGAAATGAACTTAAGTTACGTTAAGGTAATTTAATACCAGCTCACGGGTCTTTTATTATGCATACCTTGCAACAAATACGTTAACTTGCAACATTTTCATCATCTAAGTTGAACGAACTCTTTTACAAATAACATATGTACGTAAGTATGTGTGAGTTCCAGTCAATTCTACTCCCCACAAGACTTGGCACATGCAATGAAGTTATCAGACAGCAAATTTGTCTATTGTGGTCAAATGAATTTATTTGTTATTGCTGCCGCACAAGCGCACGAACACAAGCACACCGACAAAAATAACCGAAGAACTTTACAATTGGCGTTGCGCGATTTTTTTCAATAAAATTGTTTGATATAATTTTTCAATTAAGGAAAAATTTATACAATAATATTTTTTTTTTGATTTTAGATTATTTAAAAATTTAATATTTAAAAAATTTTTATTATACATATATTCTAATTAACAGCCTTAATCCGTTACACTAATTGTTCTAATTTATATTTTCGTAATTTTTTTTCTGCCTGAAGACAGTTATGTTCTTAAGCCAGCAGTACCGAGTTCATATTTGAATTGCGGCACAGTCAATTGTTTTCCAAAGCACAGCACAAAACGCACGCGAAAAGTCGCCTCTGAGCGGTCAAATGGCAACGAAATGAACGTGATCGACTACACCGGCAGCAGCTTGAAGCTTCTTGTAATAAAAGAACGCCAATGAATTTATTTAAATGCAACTACTCGGCAAATATGACTGTGTGTGTGTGTAAGTATTGTTCTGTTATATATGACATTAAATGAAACACTACTGACTCTGCCAAAAAGTTTGCAGACTGCGCAAACGCCACAAAAAACCACTCGCACACGATAAAATCTCGGCATAGACTGAATTGATGGCGGCGAGTCGTCACTGGATTTTAGCAGTAACCCATTGCAGCATTTATACGCTGCTCCGTCATTCTTGGCCATCTTGTTATCATGCGGCTTAAAGGTTGAGGAATACTATGTGCAAGGAATAGTGGATAATAAAAAAGAATAAGTTGGCAATTGATGTGCTGCACGAGTGTTTCGGTGTGGCGCACTGTTGTGTGGTGTGTGGCGTAAGGTGTCGTGTTGTGGTGTGTGCTGTGGTTTGGTGCAGCGCATTCAAGCTTAAACCTTTAGCAACGTCTTAAAATACATATCGACTGGCATGTGCAGCAAGTATTTATATAACCTCTAGGAAAAGCTGGGTAGTAGGGAGACAAAAAAACTAAAACTACCAATAAACTACATGATGTCAAGTGGTTTGTAGGAAATTTAAGTGACATTGAATTCATTTTTATACTCTGAACAAGGTCTATTAAGTTTGCTACGAAATCTATAAAAAATATACATAAATGATCAGTGTGGCGAGCTGAGTCGATTTAGCCATGTCCGTCTGTAAATGTATGCTTTTTTGAGATATTGATCTGAAATTTTGCACACATTCCTATCTGCCCAAGAAGCTCCTTATTTGTCGGAACCGCCAACATCAGACCACCATAGGATAGAACTGCCATCAAAATCAAAGTTCTTGTTTAGAAAATTTTTTGTTTGACACGATATCTTTACGATATTTGACATATGTAGATTATTCTCCAGGGCAACCCTACAATCTCCGAACAAATTGTTGAGATAGGACAGCTATATTACATAGCTGTCATACAAACTGATCGATCAAGATAAAGATCTTTTAATACCGTTTTATGCTATAAAAAATAGAGGCTAGGTTAGGACACCAGCCATTTTTCCTTTCCGAAACATTTAATTTGCATCCGTTTGAAAATTACTTTGTTGTAAGGAATTGAGTGGAGAGTCGCTTAAACATTGTGCTCCTTGCATATCGCAATCCCTCCGCCATTGATGTCGAACGCACCTGGCCAATGATTTAAATGTATGGAACATATGGGCTGATTCACAAATCCACAATTCTCATTAATTACTCACTATCCTGTAAGTTACATGGCAAACATGTTTAATTACTGTTCTCCATAACCGTTTTCTCACAGTCTGGTTTTGGAAATGCAGCTTCTTCTTCTTCGTGTACAGGATCGCTTAAGCAGGATGAAAAAATGTTCGCTCCATATATGAATCATATAACGGCTCCTTCTTTTCAATGCAGTTAGTACCGGTCTTCAAATTCACTGAATAGTTATAAGTTAATAAATGAGTTTGAGTAGATTGATGCTCTCAATCTACATCTCAAAATAATACTACTTGAGTAATAGATAGAGAATTTCGGTTATTAATAATTCTCGCGGATCAGCTTGGCCTGAAAATCTTGCAATTTTTGAAAATCGTAAAGAAGTGTGCACTGTTAATGTGTCGAAATTTAAGATAATATTTGGTAAACTCTCTGGCATCTCAAGTTCGGACGAGTTCTTTTCAAAACCTTTCACCTACTTGTTTGAGTTTCATAAAGGTAAGGAGCGATTTTTGATGAATCATTATGACATCTTCTTTTTTTTAACAAATCTGGATTTTAACCGAATATAACCTCACTAATATGATTTTTTGAAGAATATATTTGCGTTTCGCCTACTTTGTATTTGATGAGATTTATTTCAGATCGAGAAAACTTTAACAGATGTATTAGAAAATTAAAGATTTAATGAGTAATGCAATTTCATCGCTTTCTACACTGAGAAAAGCAAATATTAAAGAGTGTTTCTACTAAGCAAAGGATTGGATATTGCGAACTTATTCCAATTTAAGTACAACCCCTACTATATCTTTTGTCTTTTTAGTTGCGAAGGACGAAATCTTGATTATATAATGTAACTTTGTAGGATCGCATTTCGTCATTCTCTTTATTAACATAAATAGTGTTAGAATTTAGTTCAAGTGTAATTTCATTAAAGGGAAAAATAAAAGTACGCTCACTCAATTCATTATACATTGCATACAATTCCACAGATAAAAACCACAAAATGAATGTGTTTATGTTTTATTAAAATTTGTAATTCATAACATTTAATATTCCTCTTCACTAGTGCAGGGGATAAGTTAATACCAACATTCAATTACAGTAGCCTTTAAATAAATTATTTTGTAGTCCACCGATCGGAAGGTAGATTTGTATTTAATACGTGTATTTCAGTTTCACTGCAACAGGATGAAGTTGTGCGCTTTCCCTTGAGCGCTACTTAATGTATTTTTCTATATATGTATGTATGCATCTAGTTATATCAGAGTCCGAGGTAGCATTACAACGGCTATGGTCTTTATTCAATGTAACTGTGGAAAGAAATTGAAAAAATTACACGTTAAATTTAAAAAGTTAAAATAATAACTAACAGCAAATAGAGTTACCAACTATGCGAAGCAAAAACAATAAAATTGTGTTAGTATCTTATGTAGCTGAAGTATGCTTAAGCTACTATATTTTTAAGCTTTTAATAAAAATTCATGGTCAGGCTCTACTTTTTCAAATATAAACATTTTTTTCAGAGATTATTTAAGCTTGAACACAGGTTCCAAAATCGTTTAAATAGCTCAAAGCAACTTAAATTATTCCCTTATACTCAAGTTGACTGCAATTGCTTTAACATACAATATTTTTCCAAATATTTTACAAAATAGGTAATTGAACAAAGGTGTGCAAACATAAAAATTGCATGCATTTTTTTGCTGTTGGTAACTCTGGCTTTTTAATTATAAATTGCATTAACATTCTCCAAAAATTCGCAGCTCAACATTTCAACTTGCACTCTGTCATTCATCATACATTACTTCCGTTATCATACGCTTTATTCACTGCATTCACACTCTTGATTTTCATCTACATTTACGCACACAATACGCATGGTGTTTGTGAATCCAGAACCCTGTTTCCAGCCAGTTACAATAACCACAGCATCGCCAGTTTTAAGGAAACCGTTCTTCTTGCCAACCTGCACGCCGAATTGCACACGAGCATCGACATCCTTTAGCCAGTCAGGTTGAGCGGGTTCTGTTGAAAAAAAAAGATTTACAACCTAAAATATCGCAATGTGGCAGGTCTAGTACTTACCATTGTAAACGAGTGGTATGATGCCGCGGTATAAATGCGCCTGTCTAGCGGTTTGTGGGAAGCGTGTGACCGCTAGAATTGGGCAACGTGGACGATACTTGCTAATCAGATGAGCCGACTTTCCTGAAGTCGTGATGACCACAATAGCCGCAGCCAGCGATTTTGAGGCAGCCTCAACGGCAGCAATGGCCACAGAATGGGGCGAATCCAGGGTGGAGGTGTGAGCGGCGCGCACTAAATCGGCAAACAAATTTCTATGCCACAAAGCTGCCTCAGCCTCTTTGCAGGTCTTTGCCATTGTCAGCACACATTCGAGTGGGTATTCACCCTTGGCGGTCTCGCCGGACAACATCACACAGTCAGCACCGTCGAGAATGGCATTAGCCACATCAGAGATTTCGGCACGTGTGGGGCGTGGTTTCTTTACCATGGACTCCAACATTTGTGTGGCACAAATGACTGGCTTACCGGCTTTGTTGCAGCGGGCAATCATCGCCTTCTGTGCCAAGAATACCTTCTCTGGTGGAATTTCAATACCCAAATCACCACGTGCCACCATAATACCGTCGGATGCTTCAATAATCTCATCCAAATTATGCATGCCTTGTTGGTTTTCAATCTTCGAAATAATCTTGATGTTCTTTCCTTCCTCACCTAAAACACCACGAAGTTCAGTAAGCGCTGCGGCGTTACGAATGAACGAAGCGAAAACCATATCGACCTTCTGTTCGACACCGAATTTCAAATCAGATTTGTCTTTCTCGGACACAGCTGGCAAATCGACGGGTACACCGGGTAAATTGACACCTTTGCGTGAGCCCAAGGCGCCACCATTTTCAATTTGGCATACCAAAGCATTGCTTTGCACTTCCTTAACGATTAATGAGATGAGACCGTCATCAACGAAGACGCGATTGCCTGGTTTAACCACCTTCACGATGTTAGTATAATCAACGTAGATTGTGTCTTTGTTGCCCTTCTCAAGGTAGGCTGGGTCGGTTGACAGTTTGATGGTTTCATTCCTCTTCAATTCAACCTCACCAGTACCGCTGCCCTCAATGAGGCCAGTACGGATCTCAGGTCCCTTGGTATCCAATGCAATTGCAATTGGATATTCATAACCAATCTTTGCTGAGTAGTTCTTAGCTGCAACTCGAACGTTAGCCACAGTTTCGGCATGGTATTCGTGCGATCCGTGAGAGAAGTTCATGCGCGCAATATTCATGCCGGTTTCCATCATTTTCTCCAACATTTCAACGCTGCGCGAGGCAGGTCCAATGGTGCAGACAATGCCCGATAGGCGTACATGTGGCACCGCTGAGTCGAACTGCAAGCGGCATATATGATCCAAGTGAGTCTCAGCTTCGGCAGCCATGTTTTGGGGTACTTCGTTCGTCTGTGTGCGAAAGAGATAAAGAGAGATGTAGAAAAAATTTGAAAAAATTCTAAATATTACTATTATTTCGTTGGAGCAATTTGAATTGAGCACACAATTGCACTTGTGTTCATAATGTTCTATAATTTACCATATTCGAGATGTTTACTTTGGTATAAGTGTAAAAAAAAATATTGATTATTGATTGCATTTTATTTATAATAGTCATACCCTAGATTTTTATTAAAAGTCACACGCTACCGCGGTCATAAAATCATCGATTATTTCTATTGAAACATCATAGGTATATATAAAATATAGGTATTTTAATTCAGTTTGGTTCGGGGAATTTGCTTTAATGAAGCATTTTGTGGTTTTATCTACACATATGTAAGATATTTTAACTTATACTCGTATACATTCGTTGAGTAGTCGCTACAATGGGTCCTAAAGTAGACCCATTTCTAAATTAACCACTAAAATGAGGAGTTGCGTCCATTTAGTGGGTATAAAAAGATATTTATCTTAATTTTGATAGAACAGCTTGTTTGGTAGCTATATGCTATAGTGGTCTGATCTGAAAATTATATACTGAGATTGTAGCGTTGACTGGGGCAATATGCCAAATTTCGTGAAGATACATTTTGAAATTAAAAAGTTTTTCATGCAAGGATTTGAGCTCGATCGGTTAGTTTGTATGGCAGCTATACGCTATAGCAGTCCGAATTGAGCAATTTGTTTAAAGATTGTAGGACTGCTCTATACAATAACTATGCCAAGTTTCGAAAATTTATCTTGTCAAATAAAATTGTTTCCATACAAGACCTTGATTTTGATCAGTATGAGAGTTATATCCTATATTGGTCCGATATCGGCGGTTCCGGCAAATGAGTAGCTTCTTGGCGCCAGAGTAAAGAGAATTGCAATGTTGCGATGAAAGCAATAACATCATTAAAAATACCTTGAACCAAATACTTAGATATGGCTAAACTTCATTGTATGTATGCCTTATTAAACGGCAATTGATCTAATCTTAAATACAATTTTTTGCTTTGGCATCTGATGTCAAATTAGAATAAAAGTTATTTTATATACATATGTATGTTAAAGAGTGTGATTTTCGGTTCTGATGAGAAAGACAGAGAGCAGAAGGGTTTCGAATATGTATGTACTATTTCTGTATTCAATTATGTAGAACTAGTTCGACATTAGTTTTGTGGTATATAGAAGTAGCGAAACTTTCATTTTCCTCTGATTTCGCAATACACCAACATATGTATTAAGATATTGATCTATACAGTTATATAAATGCATACAAATATATGTACAAAACTACTATTCTCTCCGCCATCGTCGAAAGCTGCCTTGAATATAACATGAATGACTGCGCAAACTCTAAAGCATTTTTGTGGAGTGAATGTTCTATGCAAAAAAAAACACTATACGTTGATATATGTATGTATGCATTATACAAGTATAGATTATACGCTAGTTCGTAAGTGCTTGGCTACAAAAAAAATATTGTTATTTTAAATTTTTCGAAGAAATAATGAAATTGCCTTGACATTTGGGAGAACGTTTCAATTTTTAAAAGTCGAAACATCCAACATGTTCAGAAAACTTATTTATTTTATGACACAGATTATTTGTATTAACTATTTACTCGTATTTTTCGCCTAAAGTTTCTAACTAAAGCTTGGCTAATGAAAATGCAATAAAACTTTTATGACGGATTTTGCTCATGTGACTTTACAGATATACTAGCTTATATACGAGTACATACATATATCTATGTATTGTTATATGTTCCAGCCGGCATTTATTGTACATGTTTACATATGTGCTTACACATATATGTACGCAAGTATGTATTTGTATCACATAATGCACACATTTGTTCAGTTTATAAATATTATTTGATTTCCGAGTCAAACATCTGGCGCATTTATAGTTTGCAATTTTTTGCTTATGCACTTCATTGATACGGAACGCACCAACATACATGCATGTATACAAACGTAAAGGCACTTATAACGATTACTTGAAACGTATTTGCCATATAAATATTAACGATCCGGTGATAATTCTTAAACACACGAAATTACATGACCTTAAGTCAAGGTCAATAGAAATGCAATTCTCGCCACTTCGGTGTATTGTACAACGAAACTTTTGCTTTGCCAACGCCGCCAACACTCATATTACGAACTGTGATTGTGTAATCGTGTAAAATTTGCGATTTTTTCATTTTTAGTTTTTACTTTTGCAATTGATGCATTGAACATTTTTTATTTTTTTATTTTGTGAAGACAAATACCTTTAGCTTTGGTGCAACATCGTAAATTGTTGTATGAACCATTTTGGCTGTTATACGTTGGTTTAATAAAATACAGTTATGAAGTTCTTTACGATTACGCTTAGCCGGAAGTGGAGCAGATGTCACCGTGTGTTTGCAGTTGCGGTACAAATTATTATTTCCGTCCTTTAGTAGATGCGCAGCAAAATTATAAAAAAAGCATTTATTAAGTCTACGTATAAACGTAATCTTGCTGTATTTTCGCTTTTATAAATATTTTATTAGAAAAAACAAAATTCTGTTAAAACTTGTGTAGAAAAGAAAAAAGTATAGAAATGTTTTTCGTTTTGAAAACTAAAATAATTAAATTATAATGAATGACAAATGTGTATAATTCAACTTTTTTAAATCACAGCTACCGTAGAACACCGAAAACGTTTTACAAGTGCACTGTTTAACTTGCTTCGCTCTACTACGATATAGCCATGATTACAAGAGCATGATGAGCAATGAAAAGTCGCTTGAGACAATTCAGCATTGGGGTTGGGGGTATTGAATCGATGGGAAAGTGGCTTTTGGATGCCGCGCACAACCACCACTATTTACAACAACTTTCAGTCATACCCATTGAATTGGTAATATCAAATTGTATTGTTGGTACCGTAGCTTGTTGTCGGCGCTAAACAATTCGGTCAAGAGAGAGTGAAGGAGAGAGAGAGAGAGAGAGAGCGCCTGTGCCTGTGGATGCTTTTGTGCAAAGCAGAACTTTTTGTACCCTTAGTGAGTTTAAGTAGAGAGGAAATAAAAGTTGCTGTCTACAAAGGAAAAAGATATGCGCACAATAACATACATACGAACAGTACTTTGTAGATTTGCATGTAGTATATCTGCATGACATTTAGAATTTTTTAAAAAGTTTCGGGGTTGTTGAAACTTGTTTTGTGCTGTTCGTCTTTAAGAGAAAATTTTAGAGCTTTTTTATGTGCACGCATACAAAGTAACATGTAAAAGCATACAAAGCTTTAGATATACATACGTATGTGTGTATGTGTGTACATACGCATGTGTACATTTGTAGCTAAATTGTGTGTTTTGCATATCACAATGCCTGCAATAAATGCCGGCTAATACATACATGCCTACATATACTACGTATGTATGTATGTATTTGTACACTTGTCAATATTATATCTTATATTTATTTATCGCTGAGCGGTATTAATGTAAATAGTCTACTGTGATATTACGGGCTAATATATTTCCTGGCGCTGAAGCCACAAATTCGGTGACTATTTCTGGCAGTATGTACAAGGTGCGTTCCAAAGTAAACAGTAAAAAAGTAACAAAGCAAACTCTAGTGGCGCCATCTATATGTCGACTAGTGTGTTAGAATCTGCTATCCTTTATTGACTTCCTGTAAAAATTTCATGACATTTCATCGTTTGAAAGTGAAGTTATAGCGTTTTAAGTTTCAGTATGTTTTTGTCATCGGTGCGAAAATGAGCTTCGACTAAAGAGCCAACATTAAATTTTGTTTTAAAATTGGTAAAACTTTTACCGAAACGTTTCAATTGATGAAACAAGTTTATGGCGATGATTGCCTATCCCGTAGCAGAGTGCACGAGTGGTTTCAACGTTTTCAAAGTGGTCGTGAAGACATAAATGAGAAATGAGCCGAAACCCAAAAAATCGCGCCTGGAGAAGTCAAAAGTGAAAACAATGCTGATTTGTTTTTATGATTAAAAGGGTATTGTCCACAAAGATTTTGTTCCACCCGGCCAAAACGTTAATGCGGTATTCTACCTTGAAGTTTTGAAGCGTTTGGTGCGCCGTATTCGACATGTTCGGCCCGAATATCGCAAAGATGGAAATTGGCGTTCGTGCAAAAAGCTGTATTAAAGCAGAAGGAGAATATTATTCAAAATAGTTTGAATAAAATTAATTGATTTTGCCGATAAAACTATTTTTTCTGTCTTTTTGTTTAAAAGTCCTGTTTACTTTGGAACGCACCTTGTATATTACTACGAGGTGACCAGATATGAATGTCAAAGCATATGTCGGTGCAGCCGTTATTAGTTAATTTGATTAAATAATCACCAACAAGTATGTGATACTACTTGTTCTATTACTTATGACAATTGTATCACGTGTGTTTCTTCACAAACATAAAAGTATTAGTCATTTAATTAATAACATTTCAGATATGGTGTTAATTAAATTGTATTTTAACTAAGCATTTGTTTGCGTTTCATTACCTTATTGATGCTTTTATCGTACTTGATTGAAAGTGTGGCACAAAAAAAATAGAAAACAGCATAAGCAGAGGACCTTCCCGTTACAATTGAGAGCTCATAATTGGAAGGATTTTCTTAGAGGTGTCTATCAATCAATTTTTCAGAGTACGAAGCCGAAAAAAATTGGTTATTTAACCCACCCTAATATTACTCTTATCTAATAATGGTGATATTTCTGTGAGTAATGCTGTACTAACACTTTGAAGTTGCTTTTGTAAATAATTATAATATGTTTAGGGAAGTAAACTAAATAAAATAACTAATTTATTTCGAAGAGCTTAACTTTTTGTAACAAAAAAGGAATCAATAATGTGTTTTTGTATATCATTTACATAAAAGAATAAATCAAATCAATATTTTTTAATTTAATCAATTAGAAAATTTGCACAATAAGTATTATCATTGACAATCTGCTACTTGTCTACTTGAAATACTTTAATTTACTTTTTATACTAATATTAAATATTTTTACAATATTTAATTTACCTGTTTAGAGACCTGTAATGGGAGCTTCTTTATTAAGGGGGCTTTCCGCTGTCCAAAAACTGTAAACCAAAAAATTACATAATCTGTTAAATACATAATAACAATATAATACATATGTGATTAATTAAGCTTTCAAAGATGTTCAATATTTTTGGATATACGAGGTGTGTTCAAAGGAAAACGTGAATTTTGAATTTTTTTGAAAATTACTTATTTATTATCAATATCTATTTTGTCCCCTTCAAAGTAATTCCTCTCGGACATAATAAACGTGTGCCAACGCTTTTTCCAATCCTCGAAGCACTTCTGAAATGCGATTTTCGGTATGGCCATCAGCTCTTTCTACGAGTCTGATTTGATCTCATCAATTGCGGCAAAACGCTTTCCTTTCATTGGTTTCTTCAATTTTGGAAAAAGTTCGTCACCAGTTATGACCCGTTTGAGCAGACCCGGATCGTTGTTGACGTTATTCAACAACTCCTGAGCGATACTAATGCGACATTGGTTTTGCTCAGAATTTAGCAATTCTGAACCAACTTTGCTGCCACACGTTTTATGCCCAAAACATTAGAGAAAATTGAATGGCATGAGCTCATCGTCATCAACATCTTCTCGGCCTTCTGTAAAGCGCTTGAACCACTTATAAACACTTCTTTGAAACAAAGTGGACTCACCGAATGCCTCAGTGAACATTCCAAATGCCTTGGAGCACTTTATTCCATTTTTAATGCAAAGTTTAATACATATTCTTGGATACATTTCTTTCAAAAGTCAAAAATTGAAGAGCACCTAAAAACGTGACTAACCTTTTCTGTTGTCAAAAACAAACTACTAACCGAAATTGGCTCCTAATGCAAGCACATGATAAAGATATGTGTCCGATTATAACAAAAACAAAATATCGATAATGGAATGTACACAACCCGCGAAAAATCAAATTAACACCTCGTATTTATATAAATTAAGATGCCTTAAAAACTAACACACCGATTCCGACTTTTTAAGAGAGCTTTGAGATCATGTGAACCTACCAAAGCTGGATAATCAAACCAGGGTTACTGTTAAACTTAATCGAAGCAACACTAAGAGGTTATGTTCCAAATGTTATCTTAATAAATCTTAAACTTGGTTTGTTACTACTATGAAAATTATTAAATGTTGGCTCTTAAAGGATGATTTTTAAATTGGTATATATACATATGTGTGTGGGTTAATACGCCATCAGCGCTGTTCGTTTTCTATTCCACAGAAAAGAATAAAAGTCGACCTTCTGGCATATATTGGTAGTTTTTGCCTTCAAAAATAAATTAAATTTTTAATCAATATTTCTAAATCTAATTTTTCTAAACAGCTACCTACTACTAGTACCTACTAGTTTTTTCATTTAGTAAAAATAACAAAAATTCACATTTTTGTTTAAAAACGCTGCTGTTTTGTTAATTTTTTTTTTTTCAAAAGTAGGTGATTGTACGTACAATATTTTCTTGTCGAGAATTTAGTTATTTAGCTTTCATCCACGGAGAAGAATTTTAAAACAACTGATAAAGACTTTTTTGTTGTTCTCAAAAATCGCTATAAGCTGTCACACGAGGTGTGCCTCTTAATAGTAAATTTTAACGGCAAATACTCAGCACGTGTTTGGTAAGCATAAACATTTTTAGTAAATTTCATTTAATGCTGATCAATTGACTTCTACTTCCAAGCTTCTTTTTCAATTATTTTGTTTTGAGTTTGTTTTGCTTGATTTAATTTTTAATATATGTATATGCAAATGTTAATTTATACTTAAGTAATTTAATTTGTTTCCATTCATATTTGTTAATAAATATTTTTTCCGATGTAATCCAATTTAATTTATACTTCCAATTACTTTCACTTAATTTAAAATTATTTGCTAGAGGTTTATATTTTTTATTGCACGTAATTGTGATTTATTGTATGTATACTTACGTATTTTTATTCTTAGTTTGAGTATTTTTATTTTCACTATTTTATTATATTTGATTTAGCTAATTCAAAATATAGATATTTTGTTTCTTTTATACTTTAGAATTTTTATTCTATACCTCGCCCTTAATATAATATTATGTAATTGTATTATTTTTAATGGCTAATTTTAGTGGTATCATTCTCTTACATGTCTGACAGAAAATGAAAGTTTGAAAACAAACCCATTATCCGTAGTGATTATAAAGTGGATTCAGCATGCAATTGATTTTATTATATTGAGTTATTGAACAGAAACTAGGTGCTGATCTTTGTTACGATTAAAAGCCAAAAATATTTGAAACGAGTATCGACAGACATTTGGTTTGTTTCCGTGCAATTTTTAATGTTAAAATCAGCTGTTTACCGTATGTCAATGTCTCATTAATTCATAAATTAGAGTAATAAACTGATAACAAAATTCAATACCTGATTATCATAATCGGTTGGAAAATATCGTAGGCAATTTTTATATAATACATACAATTTTACATATGTATAAACATATGAGTATATAATTATTATTCACAGTATACTCTTAAAACGACCTTGGTTTTTTGCTTCTTGAGCGGGCTGACATTAATTGTGTTCAGAGTACTCGTGTATACATACATTGTATGCATGTAATCAGTTCGAATTAGGTAAATTTTCTGTTTTATTGGAAAGTTTAGACACGAGAACAGCGCATGTTCATATGGAAGCAAGAGAAATGTGAATGTAGCTTTTTCAAAAAGTTTCCGTATGACTTATCTCTTTGGTAGAAAAAGAGCATGATATTACAGTGCTACCAGATTATTTTAATAACCATTGTGTTAGAAAGTTTTAAACTTATGTGGGATTTTGAATTTTTCTTGGTTTAATAAAATTTGTTTATAGTTTTTAATCCCTTTGGAAAGTTAAATATATATAATATACATGTATATTATTGTTTACTCGTACGTATATATTCTATATTTCTTCATATTATAAAGTCAAAATTCGTTAATATATAAAACACTTAGGCAAATATGTTATTTCCTTAAATAAATTTAAAAAGTATCTAACAGATTTATCGGCGATAACATTTATTCCCAAATTGCAATATTTACTATAACAATTATTCTCATCCCAAGAAATAAGAAAAAACAATTAATAGAGTAATATTAGCCGCTAGTCATTAATATTTATTTTTTTATGTCACACAACTCTGTTCCAAGATATCATAATTGGCATCGGTATAAAAAAATCGCGTTCTTGAACTTGAACTTGAGTGATGAAAACAATATCAAAGAACGTTTATTATTATAAGATTATGTATTTCTGCGTTCAAAATTGTAGTACGTGAAGTACACAAACGCGAAAAAAGGAAGTTTAAAAACAATTTTTATTTTTGATCATTAACTTGGGATTAACATTTTTTTTCTATTTGGTATCTGGGATCACACTTTTTCGTTTAATTTTTTAATCCAAAATTTGGAATTAAAAATTTATTATTAATTTTTCAATCGGTATTGGTGATTAGAAATTCGAAAATAATTTGTAACATAATTTATATTATTATTTACTTGCAACCCTGTAATTAAGTAATAAAAATTAATTATACTACAATATTGTTTCATAATATTTGATTATTTCATCGCGATTAGTTAGAGAAGTATAAATTTATCATATTATATAGATGTATATTGAATTATTTTAATATTTTCGTTTATAAAATACTTTCATTGGCAACACTGGTACATTTTTTATATTTTGTGTTAATAATTTTTCATAAAAAAAAGTTGAAGTTATTAAAAATAATTTCAACTAAAGGCTCTTTGAATAATCTCTCCTTGCTGTGCGTCAATAGTTTCACACAAAATGCTCTTTTATATATAAATACGTATGTATGTTTGTACATATTCATCAGCTGCTGGAAACTCGTTGCGCATTTGTTGCACACCCTTGCATTGAGGCATCGCACACAGCTGAGCGGTATTCGCTTCCAAGCGCGCTGTCTTTGACTTTTATTTAACCTTGCGCATAGGTAGGCATACGCATTGACAGCTGCTTACGTTTTTATGTACAATGCATGCATATATACATTTGCATATATGTATGTATGTAAGTTGTCATTTGTGCGTCACGTTTCTCTTATTTTACACGGAACAGTGTTGAGCAATCATCATTATATACAAATATACATGTATATATAATATATATATTCATATATATAATACATTTATATGTATATAATATCTTGATTTACCGCTCGTATATATGTGTGATTCCCTGAGTACTTACATGTATAAAATTCTATCAAATACAAAATTTTTCTGCATGCTAATTATGCCAAATTTATTAAGCCAACTACCGGCAAACCATGAAGTGACAAGTGAAAGTCACACAACCTAAGATAAGTGTTCCAGTGAACACTCTCCAATTTCTTTCACTTTATTAAAAAAACACTTAATACTGACAAAATTAAAGTCTTTGCGAATTTGTCCAATAGGAATTATGTAAGCTATTGGTCTAAGTGCACATTTGGCCTGAATTTACCTTAATTAAGTATTAAATGCAGTTTGTCAATTTAAGAGAGCAGACAAAATGGTGAACACTTGAGACCGGCAAATTCGTTTTAAAAACCGGGAATGTAATTGCGAACTTTGTTGCTGCGATACTGAATCAACCACTTTGATCAAAAGCTGCTTGAGAACTGATTGGAAATAAAGCAGTGTAGCATACTTCCAAAAGCCAGCGGCGCATGGAAACTTTACCAGTCTTCTATGAAAAAAAGCTAAAAAAAAAAGACTAAAATATAATTTCTCACACTTTCATACATATCTATATACTTTCATACGCGAAAGCATGGCGGCTTAAAGAGGCATATAGTTTTTGAGAGATTTAGGAGTATTTCCAACAAAGTATATAAGTGCTATGGACATAACATGTATGTGTGTGTGCTTGCACATAATCATGCGAGTGTCTATCGACAGATATGCGTACTATTGACGAGTCAATTTTATTTATTACTTTAAACTATTTGACTAAACAATTCAACTCAAAATTAGTAAGTTTTTGGAAAGTAAGATTATCTAAAATGTAAATAAAAGATGGTATGTCACATTTTTAGGAACATATTGTAGCGTTGCTTTGGATATATCTTAAAGATTTGAGAGAGTTGGTTTGGATCGATCAGTTTTTATAGCAGCTGTATGCCATAGTGGTCCGATATCGGCTTTTCTGAATGAGGAGCTTCTTGGGGAGAAAAGAATGTATGCAAAATCTCAGATCGATATTTTAATACTGAGGGAATCGACCAATCCTTAAGGAACCCTTTATTGCGTTTAGTACTAAAATAGGGATTACTTAACTATTTAAATGGAAGAAGTGCAATAACGGGTGTCGAGATTAGACATTTTTGATGGTATGATATGGATGATCTACATTTTACTCATATGTATGTACTATATGTATGTATACCTATGTTAATATGTGAGTATGAATGCTTATCAAGAATTATATAAAATCGCTCGGAAGTTTTGTGCTTATCGCCGTCCATTGCTCATTGTGCTTTATGACTTCAATTAGCATCTTAAATTGTACCATATGATTTGCTTTTATGACGCTTAGGAATACACTGTGCTACTAAGAAACAAATGACTGCGAGCGAAAATTTTAAATTTGAACACAAAGACACGCCGGCACGACACAACTACACAACAGAGAAATTTTTTGATCGGCAGATTCCTGAACATTTAGAAGACGGCAGCGACATATCAAACAGCTGATGTACACAATTGCGTTGTTGGCGTAATAAAACCTTTCACTTCAATTAAATGTAAATGTTTTGTTAAAGATGAAATTTTGTGTCCAAACATATAAGTAAATAGGCCGATTCATTGTTTTAAATTATCAATTGTTATTACAAATAATATATAAGTGTGATATAGCTTCTGTTGGTGAAATAACAATAGATTGGTTAAAGCTTTGAATAACTTTACATTTCACATATTAGTGGTAACACTACAGCTGCCCATTGCCATCGGCAAAATTAGAACTTCCGTGAAGTCGTGCTGCTGTCTAAATAACAGTGCCCATAAGAACGTGTGTATTTTTAATTTTTGACAGATGCTGCTGTCGCTTGTCATCGTCTATGTGTTCAGCATTTAATGCCGTAATTATTCAAATTACTCTAACTTTTGAAATTTATTATTGGTATGGCTCAAGAAAAGTGGACTAAAATAACATTAACTAGAGAGGAAAATTCACGAAACGTCATAAAATGAATCAATTATAGAATAAGGTTTAATATTTAATTAGAGAAATTGTAAAAAATTTTATGAGAATCGAATATCCAGGGTCTGTTTTGATTAGTTCTTTTTAGCCACATTAGTTGTCTAGCCAGTTTTGGATCTTCGGGTCGTACCAGAAGTAACCAGCAGGAATTTGTCTACATTTATTCTATGCTCGGAGTTGTAGACGCCGATTCATATTTTTTTTATAATCTAGATAGAGTATATTAAATTTGCCACAAAGATTGTAGAACCAAGAAGCTACTCTTAGAATCACCGATATCGGGTCACTATGGCGTATAGCTGACATACAAACTGACCGATAAAAAATCATGTCCTTAAATGGAAAACTTTTTTAGCTGATTTTAATTAAAAAATGTAAATTTTTTCTCGACATTTGGCATGGATTATTGTCCAAGGCAACGCTACAATATCCGAGAATATTGTTCAGACCAGACTGATGTTTCGTATAGCTGTCATTTAAACTGACCGACCAAAATCAAGTTTAAGTTCTTTTGAAGGTTGTTTATATCAAACTTCGTGGAAAACCGTTGACTGGTTACGTTTCCTGGTTTAGTTATAAGTTTGCATTTTGCATATATCAAAAAGTAGAGGTTTCAATGCAAAATAAGCTTGCTGATCCGAAATTTTGACGTGAGAATTTTTGATTGAAAATTAGGGGTTTTTTTCAATATTAGGTCAGTATAAAAAACAGGATTTTTTAAAATAAAAACAAAAAAAAAAAACGTTAACTTCGGTAGCACCGAAGCGATAATACCCTTCACAAATACAAAGGTTCCTTAAAAGAACTTGACTCCGATCGTTCAATTTGTATGGCTGCTACATGATATAGTCATCTGATTTGAACAATTTCTCGCAGATTACATTGTTGCTTTAGAAAATAACTCATGCCAAATTTCGTGAAGGTATCTTGTCAAATAAAAAAGTTTTCCATATAAGCACTTGATTCCGATTGTTCAGTTTGTATGGCAGCTATATGCTATAGTGGTCCGATATCGGCCGTTCCAACAAATAAGAAGCTTCTTAGTGATTTCAGATCGATAGCATAAAAACTGAGGGACTAGTTTGTATATATACAGACAGACAGATAGACGGAAAGACAGACGAACGAACATTGCTAAATCAACTCAGCTCACCATGCTGATCATTTATATATGGTATATATTATACATTTTATAGGGTCTATACTTTGTTCAGGGTATAAAAATGCCATGTGTTTGAGGCATACGAAGATAACTTTATACCAAAGAAAGAAAAAAAGGATTTATACACGATAAAAGAAATAACCCAAAAAACTTGGTTATTTTAATTTTTCACATAAAATTTGATATTATATTGAGCCACACCCCGATTTTCCTTTTTCCGAACTCAGATCGCCGTAAATTATTTCTCCTTTAATTTTAGTTATTTTATCTTTCGTTTCTGATGGGTTTCATCCTACTATTATTATTTTTGTCATCAAAAATTATCTAACCTGGTCTATATTTGAGTTTTTGCCAAGAAAATGTATGGAAAATATGTATATGTATGGAAAATACCATTTTTTACCTGCAATATCAATATTTCGAAACTATACAAAATTGTTTCATAATACGATTATTGTGTTTTTAAATTCAGTCTTATTTTAATTTTTTACTTTATTATTTTGTGCGAACTCTTTAAGCAATTCAGCCAACTGCTCGGTTTCGGCGACAGTGATGGCATTATACAGCGAAGCCCTAATACCGCCAACAGAGCGATGACCCTTTAATTGAATCATGCCCCGGCTCTCTGCCTTTGCCAAAAACTCTTTTTCTAAGGCCTCGACGCCTTCGCTGCTGCCAATGCGGAACGGTACATTCATACGTGAGCGCACACGCTTCTCCACCGGACAGCTATAGAAGCCATTCGACTGCTCAATTACATCGTAGATGAGCTTTGATTTGGCCGCAGCCGTTTTGGCCATGCCAGCAACGCCGCCGTTATGCTTAATCCATTTGAATACCAAACCCATTAAGTAAATGCTGAAAAAAATTATAACAAAACAGTAATATTTTATGAAAAACTACACAAAAGATATGACAAATGTACCAAAAAGTTGGCGGTGTGTTGAGCAGTGACGCATTTTTTTCCATTTGTGCGAAATTCAAAACCGATGGTGTCTGTTTAATGTGATGCCCGATGAGGTCCTCACGTACAATAACAACTGTCACGCCGGCTGGTCCAATATTTTTCTGTGCACCGGCGAAGATCAGGCCGAACTTGGTGACATCAAAGGGACGTGATAAGAAATTCGAAGACATATCACAAACCAGTGGTACACCCCTTTTAATTTCGGGAACAAAGTCAAATTCGACGCCATCGACCGTCTCATTGTCGCAATAGTAAATGTATGAGGCATTCGGATCAAGTTGCCAAGTGTCTTGTGTAGGTACAGTGATGTATTTTCCCGCTTTGGGTATTACTAAATTGACCTTGCCGTATTGTTCAGCTTCTTTTGCTGCCTTGGCTGACCAAGAGCCGGTCACGATATAGTCAGCGACACCGGTGCGTCCTATGAGGTTAAAACAGACGGCCGCGAATTGTCCAGTGCCACCGCCTTGCATGAGCAATATCTTATAATTCGATGGAATATTCAATAGTTCTCGTAGATCATTTATAGCTGTTTCTTGTATTGCTGCGTAGTTTGATGAACGATGGGACATTTCCATCACTGATATGCCGGTGCCATTGCAGTTGAGTAAATTTTCTTGCGCCTCTTTCAGCACCTGGTAGGAGAAAGAAAAATGTATGTATGGAGCTTTGAAGTAGTAGTCAATGTTGCAAAAATTTTGTAATGAGAAAAAGAAATGCATTTGCCTAGATAACCTCTTAAAAGCCAATGGTCTAACTGAAAACTTATATAATTTAGGATTATTCTCATAACATTTGACAGTTCTTTGATGTCTGATTTTCGGTTAAGGAATTAACCGGTATTCCTAACCCGGAAATCAGGTCTCGGTCTTCTCTTCAACTTACTTCTTTAATTTATTTCAAATCGTTTAAAAGGAGTGAAACGATAAAAGGGGCCAGCACTATTAGAGTTGTGTCTTGCCAAAATTTTGGAACCAGTTTCATGATTTACAGTTACGTTTAGTCAACAGTTTCTAAATAGTAGTTAAGAATATATCATCTGTGAGAGAATTTCAGAACAATTTACTAGCTCAATTTGGTCAGAAATGGGAAAGAAAATGCGATGGCTAAAAATTTCAACACACAAATATCGAACAATTTATAACATATTTTATGAAAATACTTTTTTTGTTGGAAATATCTTTTCACATTTTACATTTTCTGAGACATGAGCACTCTGATCACATTTTCGGAAATTCACTTGTTCCAAATTTTGATTTTTAGTAGATTAAATGCACATGTTTTCGGCATTAAACTATAGTATATCCAATATTATATGTTTGTTGATTTTTACTATGATATCTTACATATTGGCTGATATGGAATAAGCCCAACTGGCGGTTTGAAAATCGTATATTAGGTATATGAGAGATATATTTGGCAATACAAAATACGATCAACATAATAAAATGCTCCCTGAATTTCATTAAGGTACCTCACATACCATTAAAATTAAACCGGATGTTTGAAAATTCTGGGATTAGTTATATAATATCTAGGGCAAGTTTTTCACCCGATTTTACCCATTTTTAGGAACAAAAAATACATCGACTTAATTTTGTTAAGATAGCTCACATATATATGCAGTATGACGTAAACCGGAAGTTCGAAAATATTTCGTTAAGGTATATGTGGCTAAGGGGAATATTGACCCGATTTTGACATGCAGGCATACTATTATCAGAAAGAGACTCCCTGTGAATCGCAATAATACCATATACCACACAGATTGACCGTTATATCCGGTAAAAAGTGAGCACATAAACGGTAACTGGGGGCTTGAACAGTTATGATCCGATTTTAAAAATTTTTAGACTTGAGTTTTATCGCAATATATTCTTTGATGGTTGATTTGTATACTGGGAAGTAAAAATCATATGGAATTTAGAATATGGCTATATGGGAAGTAGGTGTGGTTGTAGTTCGAGTTCGACCATTTTAACACTGTGACATAGGAATCTTAAAATAATGTTATGTTCCAAATTTGGTTAAAATTGGTAAAGTAGTTATAGAGATACTTCATCTAAATGTGGGCGGTGCCATGTCTATCGTCCTATTTTTACATCGCCTCCCATACAACCCACTTGTACCATCTCAATTGTAAAATTAAATGTGTCTGATGCCTTTAGTTATTGTTTTTTAAAGCACTTTTAGTAGTTTTCAACAAAACCGTTATAAGGGAAATGGGCGGAGTTTACATCGGATCGCATCCATTTTCACACTGTTGAAGGAAAAGTCAAAAATATTTATTTTGTGCAAATTTGAGTCATACTTGTATAATTCGAATGGTTTAGGATATATATTTATTAAACTTATTAGGGGGCAGGTTCACGCCCACTTTTACATTTTTTTTCAAACTCACCTCACCTACCTCAATGCAATGCCCTGTACCAAATTACAGTTTTACATCTTAATTTTGTGCTTACTTATGGCATTTTATAGGTTTTCGATTAATGGCGTTTTGTGGGCGTGGCAGTAGTCCTATTACGCCCATCTACAATTCTAAACTTCTTATGGTGCCAAGGAACACGTGTACCAAGATTCATCAAGATATCTTAATTGTAATGCAAGTTACAGCTTGCTCGGACGAACGGACAGACAGACAGTCACCCGGATTTCAACTCGTCTCATCACCCTGATCATGTATATACTTATATATAAGTTCATATCACTATCGATTAGTTTTAGGTGATACAAACAATCTTTAGTGAACAAAACTTATACTCTGTAGCAACATGTTGCAACAGAGTATAAAAACTTTCTGAGATCGAACCTATGCCCACACACATTTACCTTTCTATCAGAATTTGTTCTTATATCTTGAACAAGGCATATTAAGCGATGAGCTGACTACAGCCATACACACTGATCAATCGAAACATTTTATTTGACAAGAAATCTTCACAACATTTGGCATGGATTATGTCCAAGGCAACAGTACAATTCCTGAAGAAATTGCTCCGATTGGACTACTATAGCATATAGCTATCATTCAAATAGAACGATTATTGTATTCCTTATTATTACGTATATACATATACCACTAATGAGTGCACGTGTAGCTATGGCGCGAGTTGGCATAAACAAAAATTAATTGTGATACAAAATTTTCGTCAAATTTCACAATTATCAAGTGATAAGAGATCTCTATGAACTGCTGTTTCACGTACGCTTTGATACAAAATGTTGTGGCCTCATAAGAAACGATAGTGTTTAGTTTTGTAAAGCGGTTTAAACTAACCTCCTCCGGTAATTTAGCTGGACCAGCGGCAAAATTAATGACCATTTTGAACTTTTGTGTTTTAGTGACTTATTCACGACTTAAGCGAAGAGAAATATATTCGAAACAATCCACACGAAAGCAACTTCGACTTGAGACTGAAATATTTGGCGTGCAAATATACGACGATGACTACGAAGGCTGAGCGAAGCGATAATAAAAACCGGATTGTAATATAGCTATGTATGTATGTGTAGTCCCGCTTAAAACGATGTAAAATGATAAAAGTGGAACCTTTACTTGACAACGAGACAACACGGCTTGATAAGTATGTTTACTTGTTTTGGTTTAATGTTGTTGGAATTGATAATACAATTAATTGGTGTATTTATATATTATATTAGTTTGTATATACTTTGTTGTTTATTAATTTTTGTTTTTTATAGATTTGTTTTTGGAAAGCAGGAAGTCTTACATTAATAGTATTTATTTTAAATGCATTCCATATATATTTATATCTGTGCATGTTTGCAAAATTGAACCAGCTTTTTATTCATTGAATTCAGCAATTATTTTTAAAGCCAACTTACGATCGAAAATTCATTTGCAAAATGAATAAACGCCCGTGTAAGCTTTTGAAGTTATTGTGCTCTTTTTTTACTTCATAGCATTACAATCTTAACTATGTAATAATATGTTACCACATGCATTTACAAAATAAAACAAAATATTTTTATAACCCCTTAAAATCTTTCAGTAGTGTATAATAGTTTTGTACTCCTAACGCATTTTTTGGGTATATATGTATGTATAAAAGAGTTGAGTTCCCGTAGACTGTTTGTACGTCCTCAAATTAAGACAACAAACAATTATTTACTACTTGGAGTTATAGTAGGGATGTGGGGGACCAATGGATATAATGGTATAATATATATTTGTGAAAATACAAAAAAAATCATTTCTTGATGGTAGTGTATCCGTGTGTGAAAAATAAGTAAAACTGGGTAAATACTATCTGAAACCCATACTTAATATAACGATTTTCGAATTTCTTTTTGCTAATCTATGAGGTTTTATATAAAAATCGGAGAACTACTTTTCCTAATACCAATTGGGTCAATAGTTTCTAATACTGCTTTATATATATATCGTTCAATCTGTGAGGTAACTTAATGAAACTCAGAGAGTATAATTTTATGCTAATGTGGGGATGCCAAAAGTGAATAAAATCGGACCAATACCCCCTCCACGCAATCATATATCATATGGTAATAATACTATAATAAATAATGTATAAGGAATATCCGATGTGTGTCGCCAAATACTAGCACTTTGCTTTGCGTTGAATGTGGTATTTTTTTTGAATCATGTACGTCTACCATAAAAACAAACCAAATATTTCGCTATGTTGAAAGCTTTCAAGCTTGTATAACCGAAGCGAATGAATTTTTGCTTTGTGGAAGGCAGCTTAATTTGGAATGAAACCTTGCTACAGAAAATACGTTAAAAAACATGTCAAATCAAATATATTTAAATGTTTCGTTAGACTAACACATTTTCGAATAACGCTGTTAACGATACCTTAAATTTTCTTTGAAGTTAAAAAAACACAAGAACGACGTTAACTTCGCTTTCTTAAAAGAACTTGATTGCGATCGTGCAATTTGTATGGTAGCCATAAGATATAGTGATCTGATTTGAGCAATTTCTTCAAAGATTACATTGTTGCCTTAAATAATAACTCATGCCAAATTTCGTGAAGATACCTCGTCAAATGAAAAAGTTTTCCATGCAAGCACTTGATTCCGATTGTTCAGTTCCGACAAACGAGCAGCTTCTTAGTGAGAAAAGGACAGGCGCAAAATTTCAGACCGATAGCTTAAAAACTAAGGGACTAGTTCATATATATACAGACAGACAGACGGACATGGCTAAATCAACTCAGCTCATCATGCATTTGTATATATTATATATTATATTATATTTTTATAGGGTCTCCGACGTTTCTTACGTGTTAAAAACTTCGTGGTGAACTGTTCAGGGTATGATTAATTAAAAAATTGCACAATCATATTAATAATAATTTTTGGCAAATTAAATTGTTTGTGAGCAAAAATTGATAGGGCTAAATAAATTTACGCTTTAATTCTATATTTTGCAACTTTAAGCTCTTTTAATTCTCTTCGGGATGTATCGAAATAAAAGGGAGTAGTTTTCGTTTTCTGTCATTTTCAATCGAATTTATTTATCAAGGTATATAAACAATTTAGTTAAAAAGTGAATTTTTATTAATTTCACTATCTCTGAAGTTTTATTTCCCGACGCCACAAAAGTACGAGGAAGCCTTAAAGCTTTCACTCCATGATACTCTCATTGTGTAGCTTGTACTTTTGCTACGATGTCGCTCCAAAATGTTGCATACTCCTTCAATACTGTGCCACTGAAAAGAATAAAAAATTTAATGTATTGTACTAAAAAACTTATTTGCAAAAATAGTATTCAAAGAAAAAAGTAGTTACATCTGAGAAAAAACATCATATTTATATTAAAAAAAATTATTTATTACGTTATATCTCTTTTTAACAACAAAACATGAATGTATACAAAGTATAAAATATACACTAAAACGTCGACCGGCGTGAACAAAAAACAAGAAAAACGTAACCAAGTGTGTGTGCATGTGGGTTTGCACGAGCACGAATTTGAGTACAAAGTAAGAATGCTTGAGCACTTATGGGTGATTTGGACAATCAAAAAAGACACATGAATAGAAATCGTAAAGTATGGTTAATGAATCAAGCAATAAATATTTCATGTTGTGCAATATTGGTAAACACTAGCCGCATTTAATATTTACCATTTGCTGCAAGATTTGCCGGCTTGCCATCAACTCTTTGGCTGCTGCTAATGCATAAGGCAAGTAGGTCAGCTTGGGCCGGTTATCATGTCTTTTATGCTATCGCTATACGGGTGCATGTGTGCGTGTGTCTATTTGCTGGAATTACTTAGTCTACCAAAAATGAAGAAAAATGAATTTACCAAAGCAACAAACACAACATGGTGTATTTATGCTGGTTTATACCCTACATGTAATTAGGTGTTAACGTAAACTAGTCCATCAGTTTTTGAGATGTTGAGCTGAATATTTAAGAAGCTGCTCATTTGTCGGAACAAATTAGGATTATTTTTTGCTCAAAAATAATAATTATTTATGATTTATTACAAAACTAGTCAAAACTAATCATTATCAGCAAAGAAAATAATAAAAATCAGTAAATAAAAAATCATCTTGGAAATGTTAAGATCATCGAAAAAGGATTAACATGACGTTTTGCTCTCTGAGTCGAGATGTTAACTAAGCTATCTTGTAGCGATTTCATTCGCAATATACTGAATCATTTTCATGATTGGATGTGAATTTAAAACTTAAAGTTTTAATCGGTTCTAACCGATTACACCTTTTCAACAACAATTGGTATTGAGTAATTTTCTCGAACTACAAGTTCTTTTACATATTAGGCTTAGAGCTCTTCGGATCTATGAAATACTAAACCTGGAACGGCTATCAGACATCCGGATGAACTTAATTAGCAAGTGCATATGATAATATAACTCCAGCAAATTGTAACTCAAGCCATAATTTGGGTGCAGAACATAGGCTTAGCATATTATTATCTCATCAACCTCGTTTAAATGGTTCAAAGATGTCTAATTTCAAAATCATCAAAATTTATTGTTTTTGCTAAAAATATTTTGTCAACCAATATGATTATTAGAGTATTGGCCTTTCACTGAAATTCGAGTATTTTTATCCTACGAATACATTAAGTCTGCACGCACTTCCTTCGCTCTCCATATACCATATATACATACATAGATCTGCATGCAACAAATTGTACGTATGTACATATAATTTGTATATAACCATATATTTACATACCGAGTGTAAACTTTTACGTTTATTTGCTCAAGTCAATATACTTTTCATATCCATATGACAGTGTATATGTTAGTATCCATAAGTATACGAGTGCGTGTGTGCACATTTGTGCGCATAATATTGGCCCAACAGCTGTCGGAATTCCTAAACGCGCCGCAATTAAAATGTGGAAAAGGCTAAGTAACTTACGTAAAGTAAACACGGCCCCGTTTGTTTTGTGGCGCCTTCCAAAACAGTTTCGCACCCAACTTGTCGCGATTGTCCGAATGCGTTATGGCTGAACATTCTGGTATGGTTTTGGTATTTTCACTTTGTATCCATTCACCAATCCATTCGTTGGAATTGGCATCGCGCGCTTGTAGAAAGAATCCACGAAAGGTGGACTTTTGATCGATGGGGTAAATCGAAACTGCAAAGAAATAAAATATTAAAGAATGAAAATATTCATGCATTCGGGTATTTTCAAAGTGTTGTAGACATGTGCGCATATAATTTATTTGGTTCTATAAATAGGTAAATAAATCAAATACATATTTTTACTCGTGTATGATGAAATTTCTTCATGAGAGTTATTTCACATATAACTTAATTCGAATATGTGTGCTACGATAAATAAATTTTTAGCAACAAATGAAAATAAAATAATATTCGCGACAGTAGAAAACTAAACGCCAGCCGTCTAACAGAGAAATCGAAAAGCTGCATATATACTACTATAAAATTTGGGTTAAGTTCGTGTGTGGAAATTTAAAAAAAAATAGCATCTTTTAGAAAATAAATAAAAAATTTTAACACTCTCAATAATTGGCTAATTTTTGTAAAGCAATACGATATTTTTTTAATAACAAAAGAAAAGAAAACACGTTGACTTCGGCTCCACCGGAGCAATAATTCTCTTAACAAATAAAAATGTTTTCCATACAAGAATTACTTGATATTGATTGGCCATGCTGTATGGCAACTACGTATTAGCTATCGTGGTCCGATCTGCTTTAGTCGGATATTGTGGTGTTGTTTTAGACAATAATCTATGCCAAATTTCGTGAAAATATTTTGTCAAATAAAAAAGGGTTCCATATAAGAACTTTATTTTGTTCGGTCAGTTTGTATAGCAACTATATCCTATAGTGTTCCAATATCGGCAGTTTCAACAAATGGTCAGCTTCTTGGGGAGAAAAGAACGTGCGCAAAAGTTTAGATCGATATCTCAAAAACTGAAGGACGACTAATTTGCGTATCCGTCTCCGGGGTGTAAAATTTAATTTAGAATAATTTGAAGTATAAATTTTTGAAACTCGATCAAACTAATTAATTATTATTCATATATTATATTATTATAAAGAATGATTGCATACATACATAAGTAAATAAATACTCACTAAAACAAAAAACAATTCTAAATTTTCGGTGTTAGGCGTGATGGTTTAAAAAATTATCGACATCAAATCTAGAAAGTGTTTAAGAGCACAAACAACAATTAAAACTGTTCTTATCGCTTTTGCACATTTGACTTTGTGAAATTTTTTAAAAATAATTAATATATAGTCAAGGTTGCGAAATTACTAATTAAAATTTTTTGGAGTAAATATTTAATTTCCTAAAATTGTAAATAATAATTGGAAATTTAATTTTTAGTCCCAAAATCAATATTCAAAATTAATAAAATATATTTTTAATTTTAAATAAAATAACTATTTTATATATATATAACTGAATAACTCTTATTACGATTAATTAAATGTAAACAAAGAAAAAGTGTTAAGCTATATTGAAATTATATATTATAAATAAGTTTTCCTTTTATAAAGATAACTAAAATTGTAGAACCCAAAGTATGCAAACGCGATAAAATCAAAAATTCAAAAACACATATTAAATTTTTTTTAAATTATTGTATAAACTTGGCATTTTTTAATTTTTAAATCCGATTTTTGGAATTAAAAATTTTATTTTTAAGTTTTAATACGATGTTTGGGATTTCGAATTTAACTTTTAGGTTTTTTATTTCGTATTTGGGATCAGAAGTTTAAAAATTATTTTTAGTTAACGCAATATTTTAAAATAAAAATGTAATATAACAAAAAAAAATGTTAAAAAATAAATGTTAATTCAATTATATTTTTAATACATTATTTGCAGCCCTGTATTCTGCAAATGTTATATTTTAATTTTTTGTTTGCCTGTTTTTTAACTTTGACTAATACTTGTCGTTTATTGTTATTTGTCGCAACCGGTTATTGGACCTAGAGCACATTTATGGATTTAAAAGTTTATCGTTTTATATTGTATTCGATTATTTGAAAGTTTTTGCAAAGGCTGTTGCGTAAATTAGTTCATTCCAAAAAGCTGTGAATTAAAATTTTAAGAGTGTATCAAAATTTAGATTGTAGATAAGATTTTTAGTGTAAGAAAATCTAGCAAGAGTTGAAAGTTTTGGTTGTTATCCTGATAGCTTTAGTAATACAAGTTCTTTTTTATCTTGCAAAATGTCTAAGTACAACAAAGAGAGGTACAATTAAAAAACTAGCATTTTTAAACTGCATATATGTATGTATTTTTTCTCCAAAAGAATTTTGTTTACAAAATTTAAATTTATATAAAAATTGATTGAGTCTGTCATAGTTGTCTTTAAAACCCTTAAAAAAATTTCATCGAAAATTTCAACACAATAAACATTGTATAAATTCAAAAAGGTAGCGTTATACTTTTTCATGACCGTCAGTGTAAATGTTTAATAAATTGTTAAAACTATCTAACAAAATAGAAATATGCACTACATATGTATGTATATATGCAATGTGGCAATGTGTTCGGTGCAACTGTTAGTTACCTGAAATTGGTTGTCCCGGGTGAAAAGTTTCCGAATCGGCAACAACTTCGTACGGAATCGTTTGTCCTGGTTGTGTGCGCGCTTTGCCGTGATTCGGTTGATTCGCTCGTTGTTTGACGCAAGTGTCAGCGGGTGCACCATCTGGGAAGGCATTCGTCAAGCAAAGAAGTGCCATCAAAATCCAAACAACACTACACTTAACACTCATATTGCGCACTAGCATTAAACTCCTTTCAAATTCAAAAGTGACCAGAATATATTAAAAATTTCTTATATTTGATACAAGTTTTTTTTTTTAATTTTTTTCTACAAAAAATATATTTTTAATAGATAAATCTTAAATTATTTTCGCGCTTATTCACCGGCCGTTCTGCGTTAAACCGTATCTGATGTGTATCTGAGTAGTGGCCGAAAGCCGGGCGCTTTTTAAGTCCAAAAGTAAAGCGTGTAGTTCAATGCATTTGCCAAAGTTCCAGCAGACCAAAGGCTTGTTTGTAAGTACATCAATATATATGTATGTATATATTTCAGTGCGTGCTGCTGTAAACTTGCGTGGGAACGCCTGAAAAGGTGATCGATGCTTTAAAGCTGCATATATACCTGCATATACGTATGTATGAATATCCGTTAGCTTGTTTGCTGAATGAAATGACCAGATCGGGAAATCGCTGCTTGAGATATTTTTTTGGAAAAACAATTTTTTTTGCTCGAAATAGTTAATTGACGTATGCTACAGTAATGCACAAGAAATTACATATACAAGTATATATATACATATTTATCTATTTAGTCAGTGGTGTATGTAGTTAAAGGGGCTCAAAGGGTATACATTTCACAAATATCACAAGGAAATATTTCCCATGTTTTTATTAGAAAAATAATAATATATCGAAAGTATAAATATGAGATCTTGTTTATGCCCTGAATAGGGTATATTAAGTTTGGCCAGAAGGAAACGTCGGAGACCCTTTAAAGTATATGCTATATAAATATAAATGGTCTGCGTGGCGAGCTGAGTGGATTTTGTGATGCCTCTCTGTCTGTATCTGCGCGAACTAGTCCTTCAGTTTTTGAGTTATTGATCGGAAAGTTTACATATGACATTTTGTTTCCAAGAAGTTGCCCATTTGTCGGAATGGCCAATATCGGGCCACTATAGCATATAGTAGTTGTCACACAAATGGATCGATGAAAATTAAGTTCTTGTCTGAACAATTTTTTTATTTGACAATTTATTTTCACGGAATTTAGCATGGATTATTGCACAAGGCAATGCCATAATCTCCTACCAAATTGTTTAGAGCGGACCATATACCTATGTATATATGCATATGTGCAATATATGTTAGCTGCTATACTAACTGGACTTGTATGGGAACTTTTTTATTTGTGAAGGGTATTATAGCTTTGGTGCAACTGAAGTTATCGGTTTTTCTTGTTCTATGACGTAAAAACTGCAAGTTTTTATTTATAAAAAAAATTTGTGGTGATACAGTTTGTGGAGTTTTTCTTGGCGCTTTAGCTAAAAAATAGAAATGTCCATATATTTGCTTTTAAGGTGAATTTAAAATATTTCATATCAATGCAATAGTACAGTAGAAATCGTAAGCAACAAACATTAACTTCGAATTGAAAAAATTAGCTTGTCAAATGAAAAAAATACTTTTAAAATATTACAGTTACAGGGTTTACTTTAGTAAAACAGTTGTTAAGTTGTCTAATAGACAATAATTTTTTGACCTGAAAAAAATAGCACACTTAAATTTTAAATCGATATCAAAAATAGTTTTGGAGTTACAGCCTTTTCAAGTGCAGCCGCTCAGCTCAATCAGTTTATTTCCAAACACGTTTTTCTCAAAACTACATTTTTACATTTGAGTGATTACACGGAGGCAAATGCTCTGATTGTCATAATATTTTACCATATGTACGGTATATATACCAAAAATTCGAATTCTGGCATGTCAATAACGACCAAAATTTTGAGAAAAATTATCTTTTTTTAAAACGTCGCCGTATTGTCAATTTTTTTTCGACCGTATGTCATTGGGCCATGACAATATCTTCTAGTGGAGAATTTTGGTTTTAGGTTTCATGCATGGAGAAAGCCGGAAAGGAGGACTTTTTTAGTGATATCAAAGATTTTTTTCAACAAAAACTTTAATATGTATTCATAAAATACATAAACCCTTAAAATTTATGATATTGATACAATATTTAATTCTCAAATATAACCGTTTTTTAGTCTGTCAAACTGTCCCGCTTAAAGGTGGAGAGCAAGGCGGAAGTAGTGACATTGCTTTTCAGCTCACATTTAAGGTAGAAATTGATTGTCAATTGGAATTATTAATGATTTGTAAAACAATACCTGACTTACTTTTTTCTTCAAACTAATCAAATTTTGCTGACACTATGCACCACCCTAATGCATTTAAGTTTAACGAAGTGTACTTTATTCAATTTAATTCATGCTGTGTAAAGCAAAATTATGTCAAGCATATTGAGAACAACAAACTTATAGGACCTCTTCTTACACGCCACAGCGCATGTCCTGTGAGTCTTCGCCGCATACTCTCTTCGTTAAGTTACGCCTTATGACATTTACAAGCGACAATCGGAATTTTGTATTTTTGTTTTGATCCACGGCAACAACTATTATAGAGTTTTGCTGAAACCGAAAAACGGGATTTCCGGGCTTTTACTTTTATGAATGAACTGAAGAGTTAGCGGTAAAATGAGCATTATAAAATCAATTATAGAAAGCAATTATTAAGCAAATTAATATAAATTGCTTTATGCTATTCAGTTTATATAATTGGTTTTCAGTTTGTAGAAAAATTAAAAAAAAGTCTTACAAAGCTGTCAATAACTAAAGAAAAATTATATTCGTATTGATCGTGAAACTTCCACCCAGCCGCAAAGTTGAGCTTAAGAATATTCAGACCTGAGGTTCGTAGAGCTCGCTTGCTCAATAACAAAAGCAAAAAGCGAATAACTGAAATACCGAAATCGAGAATTGTAAGGACCCTTCGTTTTCCGGTAGAAAAAATTAATATGTTGACGGTATTATAAAAATGACTTCTCTGATTGAAATTTTTTATATTGATATTGAAATTTATATCTCTTAATACAAATAAAACAAGGTGAGAATAGAGAGGTTTTTCGATAAAAGGGTTTATCCTGAGAACTTAAATTGTAATAATATTCGTAATTTGGTGATTCTTCAGCATTTACTGGAATCTTTCTACATATCGGCAAACTTTTTGATTTCCTTTTTGACTTCTATTTTCTATAAACAACTGAGCGGGACTCACAGCACTATGGCGTGTGCACATGTGCACTCTCATCCAAATATCCTTTGTGTGCATATTGTATACATATATTAATCAAAAGCATCGCTATGAACAGACGAAAGTAGAGCATGGATTCGCAGGAGCTTGCGAATATTTCAAACGACAAAGAACAAATCAGATCACATTGTATTGTCAAGGAGCGTTAACTTGTCGCGAAACTGTAGCGGATGTCTGCTGCCTACTGTACAGAGAAAAAATATAAGAATAAAAAATTTGTATGAGTAGAGTAACAAAGTAAGCGCTAGCGTGCTGTAACAAAGAAAACATTAATGCATTGAGAATTGTTAAAAAAAATAACAACAATAACAAATAAATAAAATAAACGTGCAGCGCTTGCGGCGTGAATTTTGTGCGAATTGTTTTAAAAATATTAAAAAAGGTAAACGCCCGTTTTGTAAAATGCATTGTTGTTGTATTAGAATATCGAAAAAATTTTTTTTGATGTCAGATAAAATGCATTGAAGAATGTCAAAATACAACAACTTAGGAGAATAATTAAGAAATTATGCGCATTAAAAATAATTGCATTGAGAAAAAAATTAAAAAAAAGTATTATGAAAAATACTGAAATTGTGACTTGGAAATTTACTGCAAAATTAACGAAAGTCTCGTGCAAGGCATAAATTGTGAACAACAACAATTTAGTAGGTCAAATATTGTCAATGCATTGGCTTGAGTGTGCATGTGTGTGTGTGTGTGCTTGGGTCTAGCATAAAGGTACCTTCTTGTCAGCGGTCAAGCGCGATGCTAAAAATACAAAAAAAAAGGCATATTTAACTCGCCCAATTTGGTCTGGCTTATAGCGGTTAATTGCAGGACATAAAACGTGCCTCCAGTACTTAATGACTTCGTCCGTTACATTTGCTAACTGTGTGTGTGTGAGTGTAAGTGTGTAGTTGTATGCATGTGTGTGGTTGTTGTTGCGTAGTTGCAGCCACATGACTTTCCGCCATTGATACTATAATGTGTAGTGGTGACTAATATAACGGGAAATTAATCGATAATTTCAGAAACAAAAAATAACAACAAAGAATGTAATAAAAATCGCAATAAAGCAGTGAGTTGGTGAAAATTTACACGAATGTTTTTTTTATAAGCAACTTTTAGCAATAAAAGCGTGTAAGTGCATTTTAGCAAATTTTCATAAATTTATTTTATTTATACTTATATTTGTTGTAATGGTAGCATTCAGTATGTGACTGCAGCTTACTATCGTGTGGTACCACATTGACACAATTTGTACAAACGCCTTAAGCGCAGCAATAAATTTGGGCGTAGTTGGAGGCTGAAGGCCAGGCCGACAGAACTGCGCCGTGCAAAGCAGTTAACAGTGTACTAAAATTGTATCGAAAATATGAAAATGTATATGTATGCATGTGCGTGAGTGTACCATATCGACAATTGTGTGTGTGGCTGTGTGCATACTTAATTATTTACTTTGGTTCGGCGCCGACTTCCGTCTTGCAATTTGATATTGTTCATATTCGCCACTCTCAAGTTTTTCGATATGAAATGCATGAGCGTGACAAGCCACCGTGTGGCAGGACATTCTCTGCGCGGCAGCGACATGCGACATGCGTGGAAATTTCGTATCGATTCGTTTTATACGCTTGCTAAAGAGAGCGCTCACTCGCTCAGCTGCCTTATAAATTATGCCATAATTACATGGCATGTATGTGTGTGTATATATATATATATATATATATATGCATCTGCATGTGTTTGTGTGTCTGTGTGCTTGAGGCTATGAAATTCGACTTAAATGAAGAGTGGCTACCACTTCATCAAATATTATGTATGCTTTCTTGTTTTGTGCCCAAGTGCTTTGCGAATTTATGAATAATAATATAGTAAACATACACAAACACAAAGTCACATACACTTGTGCATTTGTATATGTGTTCGCATACTTGTGCAACACACTCGAGTAACTTTCCTTTGTTATTCTAATATTTTCATATCTGTAATATGTAAACATTTGTATATTATATGCCGCCATTATATATATTATATGCTAGCCGCTAATTATAACAGCTCGGGTCACTTGACTCGATAAAGTGGTCATAATGCATAACAAAGCTTAAATGAGCATTAAAATGAGCGTGATTCAGCTGCTAATGCATTCTTTAAGGGCGCCAGGACTCTTTTGTCCCTTTCCTTTTACTTCCAATCAATTGCTGGGCAAATCTTCTGACATTCTTGGCAATTAATGTTATTTGAACAGGATGGGAAGTATATACATATGAGTATATGTGTAGAGAATATTGTAATCCAAATTAGTACCCCTGCTTAATGCGTAGCATATTTGCTTTGCATCAGATTGCGAAAGTATCTACATACAGCTTTGGGTCTACATCGAAGTATAGAATTTGATATGGAAGTCAATAGAAACAAGAAGAAGAAATCCTAAAATACCTTCACATGTATATTTCCCATAGCATAAAAGGATAAAAGATATATTTACCTTGATTTTGATCGGCCAGTTTGTAGGACAACTATATGCTGCAATGTGCCGATCTGAACAATATATTCCGACGTTGTAGCGTTGCCTTGGATATATCTTAAAGATTTCCATAACAAGGACTTGATTTAGATTGATCAGTTTGTTTAGCAGCTATATGCTATAGTTGTCTGATACCGGCCTTAGAAAGATAAGATTTCGTAATAATATACTTCTCAGACGGTTTTGTGATTTCTTGCCTCAGTATTGTTTGAGCACGCATAGAAAGTGGACACCATTGAAGAAAAAATATGCCAAGCCAGACGACTGAAATTCCAAATAGTTTTTATGGTTCTGATTCAATAAGAGTCAAGCATGCAATTTTGGTTTCGTCGATTCTGTTCTTGTAGTTTTGATGTCAAACATGCACCACGCTCTGTTGTTGCCTTTTTAATAGGGAATTTTTAGAATTTTTTTTCTACGACCAGTTAATAGATTTGTGCTCAAAGTTAACTATCATTTAATAACATATAATTCGACAGTATAAATATAAATTTTAAGCTGAAAATATTGTACATAAGTTACAGCGTTCTGAACACCCCCGCCTCGAAAAAATAGGCGTATGTATTTGGTGGAATTGTCAGGGTATAATCTGTTATGAACTGCTCTTCTACGACCAAACTCTTAATTTTGAACTGTATTTTCAACCATTTTATCGTCAAAAGAAAGAAATCGACCAAAAGCTGGGAGTGTTGGCAAATAAGAGGGTAATTGTTCTCCATCAGGACAAAGCTAGGCCACGCACATCGACAGTGACTCGCTGGAAGCTTCGGGAGCGTGGTTGGGATGCTCTTATGCATCCATTTTAAAGTGCGGACCTACAAAACGCAATGGCAAATCTTCATCGGGATTGTAAATAATTTATGATGTTACAAATTTCTGTGTTCTGTCCAACTAAACCCATTTTTATAATTTTTGATATCATCATTTAAAAAAAAAACAGTTGCTTTGATTTGATATACCATAGACATGTTTCATATCAAAATAGCACCAAAAAGGTGTTGAGACGATGCTTAAAGAATATCCGTAATAACCTTTTAGTAAAACCATGATTTTATTAAAAATATAATTTCTTATACCTTGGTCTAAAAATTTCTAATGAAACCATAATTTGACTGATGTAATGAACAGTTTATCGATGATTTTCCACATATGATTGGGTATTAATTCATCAAGAGTTTGAAATTCTACACGATATCAAGGTTCTGCATGCATGCCTAGATAAAATTATAAGCACAGTAATTAGAAAATAATGGAAAACCCTGCAAATATTTGCCATAACGTGGATTATCTTCTCAATTTAAAATACTTGTGAATGCCAAAAAGATGAAATATACATAAATTGCCCCCCCAGAAAACAGAACAAATATTTATTTTCACTTGACCTCTTCCTACGCACAAATTTGGCAATAAATTCAAAACTTGGTCTACGAGCAACAAACTTGAAGTGATAATATCAAATTTTTTTGTCTTTTGGTTGAAATTAATCATCCGCTGGCGACATTTAGACTGGTGGTAATGACTTCAAAATTGTTGCACGCTCTAATTTCTACTGTAAAGGTCGCTTTTCTTAATATTTTGTTGTAATAATATATATGTAAACATTTTGCTTGCGGTTTGCTCCTGCTCATTTTGACCGTCCACAGTACAAACAAATAATAAAGGTGGGTCTAGTTGTAGGAAATTAAAGCCGTCAAAATTTACTTAGGTAAATCGGATACCTGGGGCTACAAACGGAAATTACTTGCCGACAAACATTAGAAAATAGCTCGTTTCGCTTGCCCAAAAAAAAAAACAAAAACAACAACAATTGTGTTAGTGTGTCTCATTGCAAACTGACATTATCAAGGTCTGTTCGGAGACACTGTATAAGTACAGTAGCTGCAAACCAAGTACGGACGTCGCTGCAGAGTTTTACGTTTTGGCTTTTCTTTAATTCTCAGAATAATTTTTTAATTATGTAAGATTAACCGTATAGCTTCTTTTGACGGTTCATGCATAAATACCCTTAACAGGTGCATTTCATATAACAACTATATGAATAACTAAATCTGGCAATATATTTGGCCAACGTTTCGCATCTGTCGGAAAACATTTTGCTGGTTCTTTCCAGCCAGATTGTTTGATATAAACAACTTTCATGTCGAAGGTTACTTAATAAGGAAAAAAAACCTTTATCTTAATTTTGCTCGTCAGCCACTATAGCATAGATGTCCGATCCAAATAATATATTCGAGGATTGTAGCATTATATTGAACAAAAATCTATGCGAAACATTGTCTAGATATATTGTCAAATAAGAAAGTTGTCCACACATGGACTTCACTTTGATCGATCAGTTTGTATGACAGCTATATCTCATAGTGTTCCAATATCAGCGGTTCCGACAAATAAACAGCTTATTGTGGAGAAAACAAAGTGTGCAAAATATCAGATCCACAACTCGAAAATTGAGGGACTAGTCCGTATATATACAGACCGACGGGTTTTGCTAAATCGACTCAGCTCGTCACGCTGATCATTGATATAGGGTCTACAGCGTTTCTTGCTGATACTACGGAACTTCCTGACAAACTTAATATACGCTGTTTACTTAATGCATGTGTGAAACAAATTGTATAAACTGGATCCAACAAAGGATTTCAATTGCTACTGTGAATTCTTGTGTATGCGATTCCGATATTGATATATGTAAGACTTGACATATCATATCATATTCCATCTTAATCTTATCACCGATATCTATGTTTTATAATGGTTTTGTTGCCCTAGATGTAATATCGATTTTGTATATTTGGGCTAACAATTCCTGATTTTTCTCACTGTAATTTCCAAAATTGTCCGAAAACTTATCCATATGATTCCGGATATAGTCTAACTTATTATTCATATACGAGTATGCGTTTAAAACTTAAATTTGACAGCATATTTTGCACAATTTCTTCATAATTCGGTGTTTTATGCTTACCTAAAAAAATTTCGATTATCAACACTAAACTTTTCCAAATTTCACTTTTCGGTACACCCATGACATTGTTAAAATCTGTAGCTTTCATAAATCATCGTATTTGAGGACCAACAAATAGTATATGTTTCAACTTTTCCATACCAAGCTTTGGACATTTTCTAAAATTGTAATTAAAGCAATATCCTTCCAAGTCCAATACTTTGACAAACACCTTTATCACACCAAACTTGATGATGTATTAACTAAATAAATAAAAATAACTTTGGCATAAATGTTTTACCCTCCCATTCACATCCATTATTACTCTGTACCGATATCTGGGTATTTGACGACATCATTTTAGTTCCTGTGAATTACTTCTGAAGCACAAAACCAGATTTTCTTTGAGTAAAACAGGAAATTTTGTAAACTGTACTGTAATTCTAGAAATCTCCAGTTTTAATTTTTAGTAAAACCCTAAAAACTTCCGCACAATTTTGTGCATATTTTCGGTAAGTAGTCGGAGTGGGGATCACGTGATACTTGTATGCGCGGAAAAAGAGCGTAGAACCCTAATCCTGACTGAAAAATTAAATTTTATTACTAATAAGCAGGTAATTGATCAAAGTATAAGAAATATTAAAAAAAACAAGAGCACTTTCAATTTTTTCATGAATAGATTCGTAAACTGGATATTTGAAATCATCAAATATGATATCCAGGGCAACAAAAAAAGGTATATTTTTTTGTAGAACTGTGTACAATTTCAGGTTTTTCATGTGGCGCAACCAACAGCAGAAAATCTGAAAGCGGGGAATTAGAGAGTATCCAGTCTGAAAAATCGAACAGAATGGATGAGGACCACGACGACGACAACATAATATGAGATCAGATGGGGCTGTAAAGCCCCACCATAAAGCTTTCGTCTCCACTGCTTACGGCAGTCGTAGTAAAGACGCTAAACTATACATACAAAACAAATGTTAGCGAATGAATGTTAGGAAAATACAACGTTCGTATCAACCACTGTTATCGCTTCAAATAAACACTGTTGCTGCCGCCGTTTACACAACTGCCGCTTTTGCTGTTGCTGATGCTTTCGTGATCGTCGTCGTTGTTGCTGACGCAAATGTTGTCGTTATTGCTGATTATCGAACAGTCTATGCTACACTGCGGCTCGGACCGGATAGTATTAGCAAAGGGAATCGTAAGAGGCATACTCAACACTATAACAGCAACTACTTAATAATAATAATAATAACAAAAACAAAAACGTACACAAATAAATACGATGCACGTCATTGTTATGAGCCGCTAGGTGATCAAAACAATCGCAATGCTATTATAAAACGCGACAAGAAAAACATTCTAGAAAAATATAAATGTGTAGTTTGTAAAATTAACGAAAATACAATTAACTCTACGAAAGCTTTAACACTAAATAACGAAAACACCGATTTTAAGGATTATCGTCTAAGTGAAATGTCCAGCAACGTACATAATATGGAAATGATTTTGAATAGTTCGCCATCGGTAGAAAGTCACGACGCTGAGGTCGATCGCGGCGTCTCCGTAACTGGCAATTATAATAACAATTTCACAATTAAGTCCAATACCAAAAGTGGTACATTCTTAACATTGCCATTTCTAACGGTTTTCTGGCTATCAATTTGTGGTTTCGCCACTTCGTTATTCAATATTCAAGCGTTCGCCGCGAAAATGCTGCGCCTACAAGAATCGCTAGTACTGTGTGGCATTACAGGCAACAACCAACATAATGCGCAACTAAGCGGCGGCTCACCATTAGTGCCATCGCTGTTGTGGCAGCAATTGCCCGCGCGTAAGCCGTTGCCGTCCCGACAACCCAAAATACCCACGGCCGCAGCAGTCTCAACGCTAGTTGGCAGTAGCTTGTGCGCCAGTTCGTCCACGTCAATGATTTCTCGACCGCAACCACGTCTCTCTTTCACCATTTCGTATGTGCTCTATGTCATGTTCATCCTTTTCCTGTTGCCCACAGTGCACAGCGATGATGGTGACAATTTCTTCTTAGTCAACACTTTTAGCATGAGCCCGGAAACTACCACACCACAATTCGGTGAGTAAGGCTGCCTTTTCTCGTATGTAATACTTATCATAATCTTGTAAGAAAGCGCTACATATTAGTATACAGTATCTTGTAATTAATGGAACAACGCAAAAACAAAAAAAAAGAAACCATTTTTATTCATAAAAGTTCATCTGCTTTTAGCTTTGTAGATATCATTATTTACACAAGCTCTTAAGCATTGAAAGGTGTTTTTAAATACAGGCTAAATAAAGCGTTTGAGAACTTTTGCAGTAGCTTATGCGTTTAAGAGCTATAGGTGTAACACCTCTGTCTTAAAGGTAATGACTAGCCTAGATCCGCATTTCAGATAGCATTTGTATTATAAGAAAAGAAAAACTGCTGAGTTATGATTATCATATAGTTTTCTAATATAAATGCAATAGTTCAGAGAGAGAAAAGCTATGCATTTAGTTTATTGAATATCATTGTTCTCATTGCTTATATTTGAAGCCTAATCATAGTTACATAAGTATTTTTAGATACGAAACAGGTCTTTGAGCTTCTCTACCCTTAAGTTGAACTCAAATAATTATGGGTAGAGAATGAGGGTTGATTTTTTATGGGTCAGAGATTTCATATTGTCTCTTCAGGGTCATTTATGAAAGCAGCGTTACCAAGAATAGGGTAACTCCATTCAATTAACGAACGAATATCGAACTATTCTCCATATTGATATATGGTAAAAATATTCGTACTTAGCTATCGATTTACGTATCTATTGGTATAAAAAAAAACTATCAATAATCAATAATACGCTAAACAAACGGTGAAAATTATATTGCAATCATAGATTTTGATATCGATAGTTTGATTCATCTAAAAGTAAACACAATCGACTATTCTACCAAATCTTTAGGCAATCTTGCATAGTGAACTAAGCACGTACTAGCGAGCTAAAATTGGATTTAGCAAATTAGTGTGCATGTATCATAGTCAAGTCTGTGGACTTTCATGGACGAAAGAATCGAAAATTAGTTCTAATCGTTAGCGCTGTCACTAATCGTTAGAAATGTCACCTTTTTACTGAATTTTATATGCATCTGAATTTTTATATAATATTTCAGAGTGTGAACGTGTTTCTCAGTGGTAAGGAACCTGATTTACAGACTTTCTGCCTGTGTTTTTCTAAACAAATTTTGTTATTGATTTATCACCGATTTTTTATGCCACAACTATCGATATCATGGAAATATTTGATTGAGTTATTCCATCTCTAGATGTCACACAAATTAACCTCCTACATTGTCGCCACTTTGCATCCCATGTAGCGATAAGAGCAATGTAACGGAAATTTCATACAGTGATGCAAAGTTAGCTAGCTTAGTTCGTGAAAAAAGAAATGGGTATTAAGTACAAAAAGAATGCAGGCATGCTGTGAATAAGTTTACATATGTACTCGATTGTGATAAATAAATGTATAATATTAGCGGGGGAATATTTTTTGTTTTCCAGAAAGATGAGGTTAGCTCACATTATTATATTACAGTAAGAAAAGTTGCGAGGATTATGGTTTCGGGTGTGGGTATGAGCCACTCTATGAGGGCACTTCAAAGGTAGGTGGTCTAACGACTCGTAGGCTGAAGGTGTGGGTTCGAGCTCAACGTGTTGCTCCCAGCAGGATAGTGGATAGAAAATTGCTGAGTAGTTAACGCACGCAAACTCTCTAATTATTAGGGAGGAGCTGATAATTTCAATTGGAGGGTGGGTGTAACCCACTAACTATGTAAGTGTTTGAATTACATATTTCATATTTACAAATGATGTTTGCATGTGTGGAATGGATATTCTTTATCTCCTTGTGCAAATTTAATAACACAAATCAGTTGTAATAAATAAGTTCTTGGAGAATTGCAATAATTTGCATTAACGACCGCTTAGGGAATACATACAGATTTAATAAAGAATTATGGTTATTAAATTATTACAAAATTAAAATGTATTGTATGATTTTCTTAGATAGTTAAAGTTATACAATATTATAACTAAATCGAATTTATTTTCAAGCATGGCATTGATGAGTTAGTTCTAAAAAATCGGAATTTACACTTTTTGTTTTGAAAATGCAATAGTAAATTTTAATCCCTTAATTTCGATTCGTTGTTGTAATTTTTACCATTATGTGATATAACTTCGTCAGGAAAGATTGGGAAGAGTCCTTGACTGCTTGCTTAACTGTGACGGCGTTCGTGAATACGATATGCTAAATTATTATCCATATGCATTGGAAATGCAAGAGAAATTTTGTATTTCGCAAAACGTGTGAAAAAGATGCCTTGACATGGAAACGTTTGTATTGTAATTGAAAAAGGAAAGAAAAGTTTCACAACGATACCTCTTTCTGAACACTATGGTATCAAGAAAGAGGTAAGGAAAAGCGTTTGTCCGGTTTATTAAATCTTGTGATGGTGAATTGTGAAACTTGGTACGGTGAAGGGCGATTTTAAGACCACTGAAAAGTAAATATTAAGATCAATTTCTGTAGCAAGATTGTGACAACCTCTCCGGTTCTTACAAGAAAATCTATCAAGGACTTTTTTCCGTTTAAAAATATGACATGATTGTAACTTGGCATGGTCTGGTACAGGAGAAAAAAATAAAACCATAATATAATTTGTATACTCTGAACAGGGTTTATTAGGTTTGCCACAAAGTGTGTAACACCCAGAAGGAAACGTCGGAACCCTTGTAAAAGGTCAGAGTGACGAGCTAAGTTGATTAGGCCTTGTGCGTCTGTATATAAGCGAACTAGACCCTCTGTTTTTGAGATAGCAAATTGAAATTTTCCTTTTATTTAAATAGTTTTTCACAAAATTTGTCACATATTATTCTTCAGAAAAATCTTCGAATATATTGTTCAGATAGGATCACTAGATCATATAGCTGGCATAGAAAATGATCTCGACCCAAATCAAGTTCTTGTATGGAAAACTTTTTTAGTTGACAAGATGTAATAACGAAATTTGAGATAGATTATTGTCCAAGACAACGCCATAATCTCCGAACAAATGGTTCAGTTCGAACTACTATAGCATATACCGAAGTTAATGTATTTTTTTGTTTGTTTAAAAAGTAGCGGAAAAAATATTTATTAAGCTTTGTGTTAATTAATGGAATCGTGATACTCAGTAAAGTTCCGTTGACTTTTTCCTAAATTTTGACATGATTAATTTTTTTTTAAGATAAATAAATATTTCGAATTAATGTTAATTTACTGTAAGCTACTTAAGACTTACAATGTAGTCATAAGCTTTAATACGACAAAAGTTTAAAGTCTTTCTACAAAATAACGTGAATTCAGAAGCTAAGAAATAACTATTCATTGCTCTTACAAAGATATGTGTGTTGGATGCTTCTTCGGCTAAAAATTTCTAAAGCTCTTTGCCAGGTTAAAAGGTTTGCTTTGACCTTCTGCCATTTTTTGCTAAGGGCTAAGCTTAAGAATATCAAATACAAAAGGATACAATGGCATTTATTTATTATTAAAATTAAGTCGACTCTAAAAAGCTGAAACTATCTCTAAAGCCGATTTTAGTTTGTGAACAAAAGAAGATAAGAATGAAAAGCAAGAAGAAAATAACAAAAACAAAGGCAAGTAGTGGATGAAAGTAGAGCAACAATTTTCAGGTCACCACAGATTTGTATCTTTGATGCCACTTGAACTTATACCAAGTTATAAGCTTATATGCATACACGCATGTGCCACATAACTGAATTTTAATGCACATTTGTAATTCAACAACACACATACATACGCACGTGCATGTGGCGGCGCGGCTGCATAATCAAATATGCACAACCGATGTAGCGTAAGACAATAAAATTAAACTAAACCACTTGAATATACACATGCACCAGCGTTGGGACAGGTATGCATGCGTATGTGTGTGTGTGTTGTAAAAGCACCTTAAGTAGATGTTTGCATACTGAACGTACGGGTTACTCTCACACACACACACACATACACATACAAATGGCGATGTGTGCATACTTCTGGTATTTCCTTTTGAATGTGCCACTATTGTTGCTGGTGTTGGCATTTTCGGAATCGCTGATGCTGTGCCTTTTTATAAAATTGACGCCATTGTTTTCCCCAGCGGCAAGCATGCAGCCAACAAAATATCATCATCATTCCTTTTCCGCACACATACAAAACGCTGGCAAAGAACAATAAAACTTAAACACACACAAATACAATACATATGTATATCTATATATAGCATATACATATATATATATTTATATACAAATGCACATTTGCGCATGCAGACCTTTGGGGCGAATTATGAAGGAAAGAAAAAAGTTTACAATTTTACCATATGCACATATAAATATAACACATATGATGCATTATGCAGGCACTTTAGGGTGGGGCCACAGATTTTTACATACAAGTATGTATGTACATAATTTATTGTATATTTTATGTGAAGCTTTTGCTATGGTTACCCATACGCCGTGGTGTGCCGCATTTTCTTTGTAGGCTTGTAGGCAGACCCACACTGCTTATTTACATTGTTATGCATATGTATATGTATATTAAAATATTTTTTCATTTATGTGCTATATATAGTATGAAGCTACCACACATACACACATATATACACTTATATATACATAAATATTTAAAAATACATTGCATTGTGCTGTGAAGGGCTTTCTAAAAATAGCAATATTTCAAGCTTTATTTATCTACTGCACTTTTATTCTAATAAATTGCACTTTTTTCACAGACTATGCCAGCCGAGGACAAAAGAAGTTCGGCGATAAGTGTGAGAACACATTGGAGTGCGGCTTTCCAGGCTCCATTTGTGATGCAAAGAAGAAGTCATGTCAATGTACCGAGGATTTGCCAGTGACCAATCATATTGATAAATGTGGAAAAGGTTTGTTGTAGTTGTATTTTGTATTTAATGTTTCCAATTTATTTAAAGAAACAGATATGATGTAAGCAATCTTCTAGTTAGATATTCTTCATAGTAGTAAGAGTTGTGAAGCGACTTTTTGATGAGATATTTTCTTTGATACAAAGAGTGTTTTCAAATGGACCGTTATGCGTTGCGCAATACTTCCAGTCTAAGATCATAAAAATCCAAAAGACAAGAAGATAAATTTAATTTAAATGAGAACATAAGCAACCTCTGAAATTTTCAGTGGAGTGTAATATAGAGCTTATTTTTTTGAATGACCTTAACGACCATATTTTTTTGTGTTTATAGAGATTTAATGCTGAGTTACAAATAATTTGGCGTAATGGAAGCTTCCCACACAAATGCTTACACTCTTGCAACATGTAGCTACGGACTACAATATTTTTGTTCACGTAATGGTTGTGCACTTCATCTAAAACTAATCGAGATGGATATAGGGTTATATATACATAAATGATCCGGATGTCTGTATGTTCGTCCGCCCGTGCAAGCTGTTACTTGAGTAAAAATTAAGATATCTTGCTCAAACTTGGTACACATGATCCTTAATCGGACCACGGCGACGTCCACAAAACGCTATTAATCGAAAACTTATAAAACGCCATAACTAAATAATAAACTAAGATATATATTTGTAATTTGGTACAGAAGATTGTATTATGTAGGGGATCTATGGTTGCAAATTTTTTCAAAAGTGGGCGTGGCACCGCCTTCTTATAAGTTAAATTTATATTTCTCCTAAACCATTCAAGCTATATATTTTCAAACATCCGCTTGATTTTACTCCGTAATGTTGGTGATGGTATGTTAGGTATCCTAATGAAACTCAGGGAGCATTTTATTATGTTAATAGTATTTTATATTGCCAAAATAGATAAAATCGGGTCAATACTACCCCTATCTCTCATATACCTAATATAAGATTTTCAGACTTCTGGTTGGGCTTATGCCATATACCATATATTAGTCAATAAGTAAGGTATCTTAGCGAAAATCAATAAACGTATAATATTGGATATACTATAGTTTAATGCCGAAAATATGTGAATTTAATCTACGAATTACTCCAACTCCTAAATATTACAAATATTGATTTTACCATTTATTTTCTAACAAACTTTATGCCGAACAGGTCATTCAATGTGTGAGTTATATATTTATAAAATTGCTTGAAAGAATGACCTCAAGTTTACCCTTTGCAATGTCTAAATAAACTCAATCAGCCCATCCCCTTCTCAGGTCCCTATATAGCCTGTATAATAATTTCCGACTTTCCACCTGAGAAAATGTGTAATACTTTAATAAAATTATATGAAGAACAATTAAAAAATTGTGTGGGAATATGATTGAAATTGGGCTAGACTTTGTTCCAAATTATATCCCTAAAATAATGAATTGCAATCCTCTGCTTGATGTTTTCACATCCACTCATTATAATAAATTAAGCTTCTTCAGTTGAGTTTATATCCCATATATTTCATTTGAAGATCATTTTAATACAATTTTAGCTGACGCGAAGTAATTAAAACCGGGATCTATGATATAATTTATAAAAAACCAAATTTGATTGTTATCCATTTACGATTTCCTCGAATAATGAATGTTGTTTCGCAATAATTTTTAATATAAAGCTTTCCTAAAACCTGAAGGTATTTTCTTTGCTTTGATCCTTGCAAGTTGCAGTAGTATAAAATGTTCGGTTCGAACTTAGCCCTTCTTTACTAGTTTTCCATGTTTTGCTTTAAAAAAATAAAATATTTTTTTGGTTAACGCAGATACACCGCTGTCTTGCAATATTACCGCCACGATAGAAAAACCATACATAATCGATACATAAAAACTCCTCAACTCGAGTCTACAAAACCTTGTAAACTTATATAAAAACACACTTCACTGAAACTCCTTAGTGAAGATGCCCGAAATGAGTATATCATTAGCATCTTGCAAAACAAGGTAGGAGTTACTGCCCTACTACTTCCATCGAATAACACTTTAGATTGGGTGGGAAATTCAGAGACAAAATATTCCCTTAAGGAAAAAGACTAATACCAAAGTTTTTTTTGAGAAATAAATTATCGAAACCTCTTTTTTATATAGAGTAATATTTATTTCAGAGGCTGCTGTGAATGAGTCTTGTTTCTTTAACGAACAATGCGAGGTAAAACATTACCAAACCGAATGCCGTGATGGACGATGCACTTGCCGTTATGAAATGATGCCATTTTGGGGCAAAGATGGGACAGTCGAATGCAAGGGTAACTGCACTATTAATTTTTAGCCCATCACACTAAAACCATTGCCATACCACGTATATGTTTTACATACAATTTATTATTTTACAACGAAAAAAGTAGAATAAATATTGTAGATATTTTTTCATTTTATGCGCACTTTTACAAGTAGAAATATATTTATAAAAGTTTATAAATACAAAAATAAAAATATCTACATTTATTTATTTTTATTTAAAAAAACAAGCGTTTCATATATTTCATTTTTTTTTGTAATATGCATTCTCTTTTCTCTTTCCATAATGAACCGTATTGAAACTACAAATATATATAAAAGCCTTTTTCTTTTCAATGTAGGCCGTGGCGATAAGCGTGGACCGGAGACTTATATCGATCCGGCTATGATTGGCGTACTGGTAGGAATGGCATTGATGTTTATTATAATTTGTGTCGTCCTTCGATTATTTAGCCAGTGAGTAATTTTTTTGATATTCTCAATACAAAAGTACATATTTATACAATTTTGTATAAACGTCCACTTTTTAAATGACCATTTTTGGCATTTGTTAATAATATATAATTTTATTTGTTTTGCTTATTGCAATAACAATCACCAGCACCGAGAGCGATTATGTCATTTTCCGGTTGGAAAAAATCTCTATATACATATATACGTGTTACAATTTTTGTTAAATGTACACAATACAAGCAAATAAATAAGAAAATCACTAAAACATAAAACAAAAGAAATGAAAAATCTACTAAAATACAGTAAAATACGTGCGAGAGAGTTGAGAGACATTTTTAAAATGTATAATTGAGTGTCCCAATTCAAGTAACGTATACTCTCATTTTTCGGCTTGAAAGAGGTCGCGAATAATCACAAAATAATTGCAAAGTAATAAGTTTCTATTATTTAGAAAAATTTTGTCCTTAAGGCTTATGCAGTTTTGTCAAAGTGATGTTATTATATATATACTATATGCCTTGATACCTAGGCTTACGACCTCTCTCAAAAGACTAGTTTTCAAAACCTTGTGTCGTGTATTTGGTTTTTAATCATAACGATTAACGTAGTTCTTTTAAAAAAAGCTTTCTAAAATATTAATTGACATCTTGAGAGAGAACTAAGTCCACCTTGCCTTGGAATTTACTCGAATCTCTGCGAACAAAGTGAATTAATTTCACTAGAGTGACTACCATATACATATATAATATATGTAGTTAAAAATAATTTTCAATTCAAATAAATTTTCAATTTGTTATAAAATGAGTTAAAAAGAAGCTCCAAATTACAGATATATATCAATATTTACCAGTTATTCTCAATATAAATTTAAATATTTTGAAAAATTAAAATTTTTTTGCAATAAAAGTTCAAAATTAGTAATCCTTTTTTATATAAAATATAATTTGTTTAATGAATCCCTCTCGGAGGCCTTATATACGTTAAATATGTTAATATTAAATATTAATTAGTATTGTTTTATGCTTTTAGTGGATTAAATGTTATTATTGTTCAATCACGGCAATTTCTAACCTAAGTATACATGTAATAGATAACAAATAATAATGAAAAAAGAAAAAAAACTTATTGTGGGCGTAGCTAAAAAAATTTAAAGCTGTTTTATTTGCTTATTGATCTTATACATTTTTTAATACTTTTTTTTGCTTTTTCGTATATAGTATCTAACTAAATTAAATTTTGTTCTAAAATTCGAATAAATATTTTTGAATTTCACTGTTTAAGTTTCTTCCAGCTCAAAATTGTTACAGCAATTAGAAATAATTACTGAACTTAATTCAAAGGCATGTTAGTTAAAATGAAATCTATTTTTTGACAGTCACTTTTAGTAAATCTTCTGAGCTTTTATTTTTCTATGCAAAACATCCAAAATTTTGAATTCTATCTTAAAGCAAGTTTTTATACACCAAAAATATTTTTTAAAACATTTCAATTCACCCTATTTTTTACATACTGGTTTTTAAAGTTGATTTTTAGCTACGCCCATACGATTACATATTGATGTTATTGAATTGAGTCGCCGTGTCGCCTAGAATTTGTTGCAATAATTAACACATATCATACATACATACAAACATCCGTACATACAAATTGTATAATGTTAAACTTTTGAGTTCATCACATGATTACATACATACCATACATGCATAAATGCAAATGCTTGAAAATTTAATACTAATTACAATATTAATATAAATTGTTGTGTAATTATTTTTCAAAATCCAAAACTAAAGAAAAAAAATGAAAAAATCACTATTAAAATATAATTTGCTTGAATTGCGTTGATCGAGCTCGTTTTGTTTCTATTTCTTTTTGTTCTATTTTTATCATGTCCCACCGTACCGACGTCCATCGTCAACATCACCAAAACAAAAAAAAAATTATAATAATAAAAACAACTAATGTTTGTTGTTGTTATTGTTGTTGTTAATAACACAAATTATACGCCAATAATAAACATTTACTCAGGGCACGTTGGCGTGAGAACCGGACAATTTTCAACACACCGAATCCACGTCTCATGAACGTATCGCTTTTGCGTGATAGCAAACTCTTGCACGGCCAGGAGCGACGCGGCTCGCGTATGTCGGTGCGAGCACCGTCGCGCCAGCCGAGCATGGCTTCGCTACGTCCGCATTCGCCGAATCCGTCGTTAGGTAAGACAGGTTTGTATCCAAAATCCAAAAATTTCAACTGAAAGTTAAATGCCAAAACAAAAAAAAAAATTACCCAAAAATTTTTAATAATTTTCCTAAATTAATTAAAGTATCTAAAGGAACTTTATGAAAATTATAAAAATTATAACTTCGTACATATTTTTATGCATAATTTGTATGTATGTGCCTCCTTGCAGTAAGGTTACCAGAAACTACACCTAGTGTGCTCACAATTCCTTGCAATATACGATTCGTCCCATAGATTTAATTGACTGAAATGGAAAACAAAAAACTTATCCAAATAATATCAGTTGATTAAGTTTTGAGAATGGCTTTTGAAGTAAAATATTTTGTAATTGTATCTTACAAGGCTTTGTGAATCAGCTACTTCAAATATTTCATATCTTCCTTGCATTGTAACTAATTTTCAATTTTCGATTTATTTCATTCATCGCTGGTTTTGCTAAATTTAAGTAATTTTTTGTTGTGAGCTCATTTTGCTTAACGTTTTTTTTGAATCCATAATTAAATTCTTATTGTATTTATATGTATGGAGTCTTAATATATTATATATCAAAGTTGGACGCAGCTTCTGAATTTCGAACAATTTTTTTTAACGAATACGCTCGCATATTAGATTATTTGGGCTGCTGCTCTAGTTTAGTTTTGGAATTCTGCATTCGCTGTTATTTTTTATTACCATTTGAAAGTTAATCGAACTATATTTAAATTTGATATACGAGCACAGCGGGCTTCGGAGAAGCATATAACAAATTCATCCCGTTTTGAAAAAGGGTTGCCATATATCTGCCGTAAAATAACGGCTTTTGTTCAGATTCAAACCTAGAACGTCGGAGACTATATAAAATACATATATAAATGATAACATGATGAGTCGATTTAGTATGTCCGTCTGTCCGTTCGTTTTTCTGTCTATGTATACGTCTCTCAGTTTTTAAGAACTACTCCCACCGATTTTGAGATATCGATCTGAATTTTTGCACACATCGTTTTGTACACACAATCAAGTTCTTGTATGAGAACATATTTATTTGTGAAGATTTCGCTTCGATGCAACCGTTTAATGCTATTCAGATTTATTGCTTTTCTGACAGCTGGTAGGTAGGTAAATTGGTAGGTAGAGTGGCTGTCTGACGACGCACCTAGTCCTACAGGGGGCCAATTGTGATTATGTGTATCAGAACAACAAGGCTTTCTTTAATTGCTGTGATCTTCGCTTGGAAGTCACTGCAGTGGTCTGGTAAAGGGAAGGCGATTTTGGTATCTAATTTTGCTGAAAACCTCCTTCAAATCGATTATTTAGTTTGTATAGATGCTTGTCCCTACGTCCCTGTCCACCTGTCCACCTCGCCACTTTTCCACTCTTCAAGTGGTTCAAAATAAGTTTGAATTAGCATCCTCTTAAAGTTAGTTTTACAAATTTTTCGATAAGCGGTAGCTCTGCCTTAAGTTACATATATGTTCCTTAAATACGACATTAAAATTAGTATCTTGAGAGCTGTTTGAGTTTGCAAAAGAAAGTACAGTCTATGTATGTATGTGTCCAACTTTGATTTCATTTATTTATGTATATTTCTACAATAATTCATATTTATATACTAAAATGACAACCCCGGTTTTTAGTGTACCAATCGAACCACATTATCAAGTTTTGAAACACCGTAAAGTCTGAAACAAAGTGGGGCGAATCAAAAATACCAACAAAACCGAAAAATTAATAAGCAACTTTAACTTTAAGCATTTTTTGTGAAAATTTGTTTTTTTTCTTCGCTGCTTTTGCTTACGCTCCACCATGGTATGTTTCTAGCATAAGCCTAAATATAATAATAACATTCTTGTTATTTGAGGTTTTTGTCTAGTCCTTGTTTGAAAAGCGATATTCAAGGTATTTATAACCAAAAATAGCATAAGTAGAAATTTTGAATTTTTCTTGAAGAAAATTATAATTCCTATATTTAATGATAAAGCTATCAGTCGTATTATAATCTAAGTCTAAGTATAATAATCATCCCTTAAACGTTAACTGCCAACAATTACAAATCGATTGATGTATGACATTGGCTAATTCCATTGAAACAGATCACAAAGCAGGGCGTATGACACGTTCCAAGAGCAACACTCGATCAAGTGACTCCCGTGTTAGCGACGTATCGAATTGCTCGCGTCTACTCGAGCATCCCCACACGACCATGCACGCACCGCACACATACGCGCCGTACACGCCGACCACACACACAACGTACCAACACCATCACCACCACCAGCCACCATCACCACAATCCCAACCGTCAGAACCGCCACAGTCCAACGCAACTGCCACAGCCAATGCGAATTCGGATATCGACATCGAGACGGCTATGTGCTTGACCACGCCGCCAGCCGTTGCCATCAAGGCGAACAAATTCTGAATGAACCGTTCCAAATTGCCTACACTAAGCGTTAAGATGGCTAAATAAGCGCGAGTATGTGAGTCGGAGGCGCAGGCATTAGCTGTTCTTGCGTTCATTTCGGCAAACACACACACGTGTATGTTGTTTGTATTTAAAAGCTAAGAATTAGATTTGAATGTTTAGTGGACCTAATTTTGTTTTGGTATTCATAGCTGAAACAAATACTTGTAGTTCTATTCAATATCTTCCAACTACACCATACTACCTTATCCACGTACATACAAGTATGTATGTATGTACTTATACATGCCGTTATAAAGGTGTGTTTGTTAGTGCATAGTGACACCAAGTAGTTGCAACCGTAGAATTCTTTAGTTAATACTTCAACACACACACACACACACACGCATATTTCTTTTATGTACATACTTATATACATATGTATGCAACTTAGTAGCAGTAGCCGTTGATTATATACCATGTGAAGCTAGACTGTTCGAATATACTCCTAGATACATATCTACTTATATATACTTACAACCTACATGCAAACATACACAGTATTTTTACGAGCGCAAACCTCCTACTTTCTACAAGTATATTACATAAATATTAAATACGCTCATGCAAAACTGCAATAAACTTGTTAGAATATGAGCCTAGTACTCGTGGCATACAATATCCAAATAACTTGGATAAATATACATATTACAAAGCTTACGGCATAGCAGTCATACTTAAGTTTAAAACAGTGGTAAAAACAACGAAAAAGTTGCTGAGAAAAGTGGAGCTGAAAGTGGATCACTCTCTTTTATGTCATATGATCAACGGCAGATGAGTTTTGACATCGAATTAAAGTGGTGGAACGCAACAGAAAGCCATTGTAATATCAAGAAGCCTAAAAGTGGTGATCAACTTAGTCACGATGTCCATTGCTGATCAGAATGTTCTCAGAAATATTAAAATAAGAATTTTGAACCAAATTAAAAAAAGAAATAACATTAACTTTGGCTGCACCATAGCCATAATAATTTCCATAGGTGCATTTCTTATAGCATAAAATACCATAGTATAAACAGATCTCTATCTTAATTTTAGTCGGTCAGTTTGTATGGCAGATATATGCTGTAGTGGTCTGATCTGAACAATTTGTTTGGAAATTTTAGTTTGCCTTGGACAATAATCGATGCCAAATTTCGTGTAGATATCTGGTTAGATAAAAAGTTTCCCATACAAGGACTCAATTTTGATCGAACAGTTTGTATGACAGCTATATGCTATAGTGGTCCGATATTGACGTTTCCGACAAATGATCAGCTTTTTGGAGAGCAAATGACGTGTGCATAATTTCAGATCGATATTTCAAAACTGAAGGACTAGTTCGCGTATATAGACAGACAGACGGACATAGACCGACTCAGATCTTCACGTACACATATATAAATAAAACCTGTTCGGTTCAACAGTGCATTTTATTTCTTCAGCATTTACGCTTTAGTATTCGTTCGTCAACACGGTGTTTTGTCCGCTTGAATTCGAAACTCAGATACAGTTTTTAAACCTTTTTTTAAGCTTGCTAAACTTTCTAAAAATTCAGTTGAGTTTGTGTTATTTCTATGTTTAGTCGACTTTTCTCGCTAACCTATAAAGTAATGCTAAATGTTAGGTTAACTGCAGTAAAATTAAGTAGCAAATAGCACTCGAATGTGTCTTCTCTGAATGAAATTATATGACAAGATTATAAAATGCTCAACTCTTGTAAAAATGTTCAATTTTTTACATGATACAAGAACAAAAAATCTGCTTTCAAGTCATTCGTCATTTCCGTTGTTGAGCTTAATAAAAACTGACCGATTCATTATAATTATTAGAAATCCTCTATAGTCGAGAGAAATGTTGTAACGGTAATTAGTTTTAAGACGAGTTAAATACAGTTAATCAATATGCAATTATTTTATTAAATTATTGCATGAAAACCCAATATAACGAATGAGTGGTTCTAGATCGTTATGATTATGATACAAGTAGGTTTGTAAGTAGAAATTATATGAATCCAAATAACCGATACCGATACGTTATCTCTGAATTATGTATGAAAGATGACATGCTTTTATTTCTCTTGTCAAGATGGCGGCTAATTGATTTTATTGCATTCATTTGGAGCTTACCGATTTTGATTCGAACTTCAGTTGCTTTCACGACCATTTTTTTTTCTACAACTTATTTGACGCTTTAGATGTGCTGCGATTGTCGTAACTAATTATTATACACAAAAATTGCGAAATTACAAAATGTATGCCAAGTGCAAAAAAAAGAAGCAAATTCGCTGATTTTGTGTATAATTTACTTGTTTTTCAATACAAAAATAGAAAAAGGTGTGCCTAGAAATGTGCGCTGTAAATAGTTGATGTATGTATAATTGTTGTAACGATGTAATATACGAATATAACTAAGTCGTACGTACGTCGTAAATAACTGTTTTGTAAAATATTTACGTTTTTATAATTACATATGCATATTGTATATAATAAAGTGTTTTTGTAAATGTTTTGTAGCTGAAAGTGTTATCTAACCGAATTTAACTAAATTTATGCTTAACTCCCACACTTAATGCTAAATGAAAAATCACACCATTATATGTTCTTCTTTTACTCATGGTTATATATGCTTTCTTTACATACGAGCAGGGTCACATTCGGGCAGCGCCAGCGCGAGCAACGCATCAGCCACGTCTATACGTTCGACGCGTAGTAATTCCGTGGCTCCAGGCAATGTAGCTAATGTCGGTCAACTGGAGAGGAAGGGCTCGCAGTATCACAATCAGCATCAGCATCCACATCAGCATCATCAACATCAACAACAACAACAACAAATGCCGCTTATCACTAACATAACTGCTAATCCAGCAGCTGAAAGTGTGGCGGTCGAGATTATAGTCCCGGAAAAGTGATTGAAGGAAGTAGATTCAGGCTGAAACAAGAAGTGAAACATAAGAAATATATGACAAATTAAAAATATATGCTAAAACAAAAGAAAATAAAAATCTATGCGTAAATATACACATGTGTGTATGAAAAAAGTTAAAGAAGACAAATCAAAAGATATACTTGTAAGTCGAAACTGCAAGAATGTTAAAACAAAAAAAAAAAAACAATTAAAAATATTATGTGCATATATGTATAAAATTAATACGAGAGTGATGGCTATAGCTAAGCACAAGTAGTTAAAAAAGCAAATGAGTGAATAGCACACAAACACTTCAAGAAAGAAAAAAATTAATAAAAAAAGAAAAAAAATATTAAAAAAAAGAAATATTTAAGATACTTATTTATTTTAACAGCAAATAATGTCATACAAAACTGAAACGCAAATACACAGAAAAATGCTTTGTTAAAAACGATAAAAAAACTTGCATAACAAATTCATATTTTTATTTCTTCTTCTTCAAAAAAAAACAAAAAAAAAATTAAAGAACGATAAAAATAAACGCGAATACTTGCAGCTTTTAACACCAAACCTATAATATATATAATATATATATATATATATAATATATTCAAAATAATTTATGTAGCATATAATCGTTATACATATGTATGCACATCTAAAACACAAAACCAAAGAAATACACCGTAAATGTAAGAAAAATATTTAAAATGATTTAAATTAAATTAAAAAATAGTAAAAAAAACCGCGAGCAATTTTAAAACGCAGAAAATTAATAAAATTTAACGAAGTGTTAGCTTTAAATTCGAGCAAAAAATTAACAAGAAACAACTTAAACTTAAAAAAATATTTATAATTAAATTACTTAACTATAATTTCGTAAAATTCGCATGAAAAATATAATGAAACTTTCGCTGACATTCATCTTCCTATCCTAGTGATATTACAAATGTAAGCAAACACACACACACAAACACATGCAACAACATTTTTACACAATCTTGCAGAGCTATCGTACACGCCAAATTTTTCTATATAAATAAATAAATATAAAAAAAAAACATTTTTTTAAAATATATTTACCATTGCATGTATGTACCTTAAAAACCGGCGGTAAGCACAATATAACAATAACCATGGTAGTTACAGAATAAACTAAAAATAACGGTTACAAAAACAAACAAATAGAATAACGAATAGTAGAAGGAAATATAAATATAGAAAACCTACACACTTAACTGCAAATAGTACGAAACTTTGAATACATACCTAGCCAATTTTTCGGAATAATATTTTACAAAACCAACAAAAAAAAGTTAAAAAAAATATAGAAACAACTACGCATACATATATACGCTATTTATTTTTAAACATACATACGTCTTTTGCGCAAATAGATTTATTTTTAAAATCAATTTAAATGTACTTATAAATAAAGATTATAACAATAAAGTAAAACAAAAAAAAAACAATACTACGCAAGCGCCATTTGTGCACCTTAAACATTTTTACTCTTCAAAAACCGCGTACAACACTTTTAAACATTTAGGGACTTTTCATACATACATACACATACATATAAAATGGTATTCAAAATTCTAATATTCCGGTAGCGAATAAGGCGCATATTAAACATTTCATATTTAAACAAAATATTTTCAAATAGATTGAACTAGTAGCGTAGCATTGAAATTAGCATAAATAAATATATTTAAAAACCCAAAATGCGCCTTGTGATTTGTAGCGTGTTTAGGCGGAAAAAAATTAATAATCATAAGAACCTTCGTAACAAGGCGGAATTTTAGCAAATTATTCGTCAACGTCAACGTTTTGAGGTTATGCTAACACCAACTACGCTCTGCTTGAATTTTTTTCTTATTTTTATGCATATATATATAACATTTCACATAAAAATAAATAATAATAATAAAGCACAAACTGTTCATATTTGCAATTTAATGTCTTAGTTTAATTTTTTTTTATTAAAGACAAAAATTTTAAAACAAAATATAATTGCAATTCTTTAACTGACGAGTGAAAAATTGGGGAAGATTTTTTACTCGCATGTTAAGGTACGATTTTTTCAGTTAAAAAAAATGACAACACTTCTTGCTCAATTTACTATTACTACATTCGGCAAAGGAAATTTTATAGAAAACTTCAAATTATAATTTAATTATTAATATATTTTACAAAGCGCCTTTTTTTCAATTTCATTTCAATATCGCTTTATCTTTTACCCGAATGCATAATATGCTTATCTCTGTACATTTTAGAACATGCAAACATATGTCAATACATGTCTATATGTATATTTGCGATGCCTTTACATGTAACTATTAATCGAACTCGAAAACGTCTATATACATATATAATATTAAGTCATAGAAGTTCACATTTATTATCTGTAAAATTACGAGTAATATTAGGAAAAAAATTGTAAATACGCAACGAAGTCTCAATGAAAACTACATTCTTGCGTTTAATAAGCGTAATGAGTGGGCAAAAACAATTCCGATTTTAAAATTTGGGGAAGAATTTTAAAATTGCTTTGTTTTTGGTAGAAACGCCAACACATGCATATACATGAACTCGTAAATGTACTATAAATATCATGTACAAAAAGTCTACTAAAACGAAAGCAAAAAAAATAAAAAAAACAATTAAAAAAGCATAAGAACAACTCTCACAAATGCGATTGCCTAGACGTTTTTAAAGTAGTTCAGAAATCGATAGTTTTTAATGCAAATATCAATGGACAAAAACAAAAGAATAATAAAAAAATACACACACCACAAAAATATTATGTTATAAAATAACACACGATCTCTTTCTCTAAGCAAATCAAGCTTATATATATGTATATGTTACAAAGAATTTACATAAAAACGTGATGGAAAGTAAATAGAAATTAAATTAACACATACACACATTGCTAATTTCGTACATTTACTTATATATCACTTGTGAAAAATGCTTTATTTACTTTATAGCAAGTACCTATATAGTGATTTACTATAAATTTGATATATAACTGTAAACATCTACACTTTGTATAACAAAAGAGAAAAAGAAAAACGAAAAACTTAATCTATCCATTTTTAATCTTTATACGAAAGCGTCTAGAAATAAACGATTGATACGAAAGTTTTCCAATACTAACAATATAACCAAAAAAATAATAATAATTAGATAACATATTATCGTTTAGAAAGAATTTATTTACGATTCCTTACACATCCCAAACATATTTATGTACGCTATATAAGTTCTAACCACTCTTGTGGCGCCTTGCAGAAAGTGAACGAAAATATTTACATACACACGTACATACCATATACATATATAAACATTTATATAAACTTATTAACAACAAAAATATTTACACTACATGCATAGAAAATATACTTATATGCTTAATATTATATATTGCATTCAGTAATGCTTACACGCGTATTACACACAACATACTCGTACATGAAAATGCATGCAAAATATGCCGGACATTTCACAGAAATGTATTTCTACATACAATTTTGCATACACCAACAAATGTGTATTTATATATGACAACCAAATGCCGTATCACAATCTTTAACAATGCATTACAATCAATTTAGTTTAAAAATATTTTATGTAATAAAACACTTTGTTATTGTTCTGTTGAACATGAACGTAACATAACACAGAAGATATATAAATATCATATGAACTCATATATTTCATACATACACACTAACAAATTGTTATTATTAACAAACAAAAACCACACAATATATTTAAACAATTTCTTTAACTGCAAAAAAAAACTGTTATTTTATTTAAACATGAATATACCAAAAGTTTTAAACTCAATATCAAGTTTAGTATATTATTTATTTAGTTTCCAAACTAGCTATTTAACGATTTTCATAAACAAAGTACACAGTACACCAAATGAACTCACTACATAATGCTATAAAAAGCTACATTTATACATATATAAGTTATGACACAGTCACGTTTAAACAATAAAAAAAAGTTTAGGAAATCGGTCACTTTCTGAAAAAGCATACTATTCTAGCAGCATCAAAACCAAGAATGAGATAAACAAATAGTTTGAATCTTAAACACATTATATTTAAGCAATTTTATTAAAATATATTGCCATTACTGAAGAAAAAACTTGAATAATTCTCATTAGCTTGGATAAATCGTAAGTATTTCAAAATTATAAAGCTTACCTACGCTAAATAGTATCCTGAATCTAGACTCTAGAAGATTCACCTAAGCAAAGGCAGGGCGAATGGCATTGCCCAATCTAGTAGCATTTATTTTGAATGTTCCATGCCATGTAGTCTTCACAACAAATCTGTATTTGTATTGTTTTTAATAAAAACTTGCTATATTTATAAATTAAATTGGTGGTAACGGAAATGATCTGCGAAAAGCAGTTTTCTATCTTCAAATGTCAAATTTGTTGGCCTCAGTGTTACCAGGCATACATAACTTTTATCTAGACCGTAAGGCAGAGTTAGTAATGAATTATTAACTAAAAACTACATAGCTAATAAATGTAGAACTCATATAATAATTTGAACATTACCATAGCCAAAATTTGGTTGCCACGTTTAATAAGCTTTCAAATGTGTAATATATATATATATGTAAATAAGTAATTCTTTTTAATAATGGAGCCCACATGTGGCAGCATTAATTTATCACGAAACTCTCCAAATCACTTGTGTGAACTGCATTACCATTCTCTAATATACGTAAATATACGTTCTCTGCTGTCACGAGCGAGAAGAGTTGTATGTGGATTGGTCTTAAGCTCCTCAAATCAAATGTATGGTCTGCATTATCAATAAACAGCTGTGAGCCGGTTGTATAGTCTAAACAGCTGTTGTTAGCGAAGTGTATTTTTTTTTGTGAAATTAAGTAATTGTTTATACTTTAATTAATTAAGTTTAAAATATGGATGACCCGAGATTAATGGTTGAAGAAGAAGAAACCAGAAGGGTAAAACATTTCAATATTAAATAAACGATATTTACTAACACTGATAATTTTGAAATCGCAGGAGCTAAAAGTATTTGGACGTGATGTCTCACAAATACCATGCTTTCGTAATAGTTTTATGTACGGGATTGGTGGTGGTGTAGCGATAGGTATTGCTACTTTCCTTGGCACTTCGCGTACTCGGCTGTCGACACATGTTGGTTTTGGCACATTTTTCACCGGCACACTAGGGTATTGGCTGGTTTGCAGGTATGTTATTCAAGAGTTTACGATTATGAAGTATCTATGGCTTAAAATTTTGATCTTTATATTGTATGCAACATTGCCGTGTAAAGGTATCAATGGTCTAAAAAACGTTTTGAGTATCAACAGTTAAAGGAAGCTATGCGTAAACAGGGTCTATACGAGGGCACCGATCTAGAACGACAGTTACTGGAAGAGGCATAAAATTTTATTTCACTTAACCGACAAAATAGATAATTGTAGCTAACTAAGAACGAATATGTACATAGATAATATTTAAGAAAATTTTTATTTAGTATTTGCCGTTAGTCTTTACAAAAGAAAGCTAATGCAGCCCAGTTTTGTTTGGTAATAATATTAATTATATTTGTGTTTTTCTGCCAAGTTGCTTACAAAAAGTGCTTTTATTAAAATATGATTTCCTCCAATGCTTATTTGTTTCAATTAAAAATAAACAAGAAACACATTTTTTAAGGAAAGGTTACAATAGACTAAACCTAATATAAAATTACTTGGTTGTGTCCGTGATATGTTTTGAGTAATTTATTGAAAAGTGTGCCTGTGATCATGGTACTACAAAATAAATACAATAACTTGATATTAACGAACATATCTATGATCCTTACGGTGAGTGGTATATATCGTTGATAACCAACTTTTTATGGCCACAATTGGAAGAAGTTCATCTTGACAACATCTGGATCCAACAAGGCGGGGCTACGTGCCACACAGTCATGCAACAACCGAATTATTGCGTGAAAAGTTTGGAGATTTGATTATTTCAAGAAATTGTGACATTGAATGGCCCCTAAGAAGTTGTGATTTAAATCCATTAGACTACTTCTTGTGGGGTTATTTGAAGTCATTGGTCTTTAGCAATAAACCAGACTCTCTTCAAGCCTTAGAACTCAATATTGAACGGGATTCATAACATGCGGCTTGATTTAGTGGAAAAAGTACTCGAAAATTGGGTTCATTGAATTCGTTCCTGCAAAAGACATCGTTTGAATGATGTTATATTCAGAACTTAATTGTATCGATTGTACTTCACATTAAATAAAAAACATTTAAATTTCCTTAACAATTAGAATGCTTTTTTTTAAAAAAAAAAAAAAATCATATCACTCTTATTGGAAAGCCATATCTATATATATATATATAAAATATCAGCATGACGAGCTGAGTCGCCGTTTCCACGACATCCGGGTCTACATAACCGGAATGGATCCGGATTTTTAACCGGCCAAGGACTGTCAACTCGGCAGAATTCTGCTGCGTCAACAACAGCAACTATCTGAGTCGATGTAACAATGTCTGTCTGTCTGTATATAGTCCCTTAGTTTTTGGGATATCGATCTGAAATTTTTCACAAGTCCTTTTCTCGAAAAGAAGCTGATCGGAACGATATCGGACTACTATAGCATATAACTGCCATATAAACTGTAGGATCAAAATCATTGTTTTGTATGAAACATTTTTTATTTGACAAGATATCTTCACGATATTCCGTATAGATTATTGTCGAAGGTAACGGTAATAATCTCCGAAGAAATTGCTCAGATAGGACCACTATAGTTGTCATGCAAACTGGCCGCCTTCAGCGCCTTTTAACCCAAAGCTTCTATAAGAACCTTTAAATGAAAAGTTAAATGTAACAAGGAGTTTGCATTATTAAATTTCTAAGCATGCAACTAACTATGTATATATGTAGCATGCAAAATCTATTGCATAATAAAGCTCGAGGTGTTATTGGCCATATCGATAGCCTTTCTGCTTTTCCATATATATAAATGTTTTAGAGTATAGCGCGTCAAGTGTTCCACTTTAATTAAAAAATTACAAAGTTTTTCAATTTCTTAAGGCTACCGTGTACCTATCCTTTTTTTCTTACCTCAGTGCTGTTGGTAGTTGTGGCAGTTTGTTAGGCAGCAAGCAATCGGCTGCAAGATGCTGCTTAACTCAGACCAATTGCGTGTTGTTGTTGTGATGATATTTATGTAAATTAGATTAAAAAATGCTTAGCTAACCTACTGTGGAATAAAGCCAACCGATCAGCTTGAACTTATAGCGATTTAAAAAGTTCAAAATTGTGTGTGTGTGTATATGTATATATGTATGAACTCATCTTTTATATATCTTACCACAAATTTGTATCTGTGCACGTACAGCTCGAGTAGATAACCATTACCATATACCTATACATGTATGTGTGTAAGTATGTATATATGTATGTAGTATATTTGCATTTTACTATCACGACTGCTTTATTGAATTACTTCTTGATTCTTGTGACTTTTGTTATTTCACTTGTAGGTAGCATTAAAAGCATTTTAGTAAAGAAATTAAGCATTAACATTTTACAACCTAAAATAAACAAGCTGCTAAAATACTACGTGAGAAATAAAAAGCGACATAATAAGAATGGTTGTAAGCCGTGTTGCATAATGAAGATGAAGAGAAAAATTATGTGTGCTCGCATCATAGTCGCAAGAGTGGACTTTAAATAACTGTGATAGAGCAGATATTAGGTAAGGATGAGTTGTTGTCGAAAAGTGTTCAGAAAGTGTACCTTCTTTACAATTTCTTGAATACAATCCAAAATGCTCTGCCGATGTTAATACCACTGCTTTTAGCTTTATTTTAATGTCCGGTCCAGTAAAAAGAAATCCATTCTTTTTCCAATAGATGGCTTTAGTATTTTGTATCTCGTGTTGTAGAAGTGCCGCACAAAGGCTGTCAATTCGGCAATCAGCATTCCTTAAAATTAATTGGAGAATCATTCATACAAGTAGCGCATTACATTCCCAAAACAAAAAAAAATCTTTTCGAATTATTTAATTTTCATAGAAGTACGTCAGCTGACCTTTTCCCTTCTTAATATTATCCTAGTTTGCACATCCGGCTACATATGCGATTAAAGGCTTGGGTAAGTTTACCTACAGAGAGGTTAAAAGTTTAACAGCTTAAGTGCCTTCCTAAAAGATTTACTGTTATGTACACAAAGTAAAAGTGAAGTAACAATTACTCTTAAAGAATGTTTGTATTTAGCTGGATATGTGTGAAGAGAGTAAACATCGGCTTGAGTGCACTTGAAGTCAGCTATTTGTGACCACTAAACAACTGTAAGTAGAAGTGTGACCCTGCTGGTGTACACAGGCTTTAAATATTCCCAGAGGTAGGTAAATATATAGATATGTATGTAATTATAAATAAAGTCATATATAGTATATATACTCGTACATGTGTCTGCTAAGCTCACACAGAAAAGAACAAAAGATTTAAACCCATTTTTATATCTTTGGGACAAAACAAATAAAAACAAATGGAAATTGTTGTTTATGTTTGATGGGAGAAGAAATAATCCTTCTATCTCCCACCTGAGTTGCACATAACATAATTCGAAACTTTTGAACGCCTTCGGGTAAAAAAAAACTTAATTAATCGGATTTTTATAATTCCTACAAACTTAATACTCAAGTTGAACCTTATCCGCAGAGAGGGTTGCAAATAATGTATAAAGGGGTATTCTAGTTTAGAAGCCCGAATTTTACGCTTCTTTTCGGACCCGATAAAAAAAAAAACAAATATTTTTGCTATAAATTTTTTCATATGTTTTTTATTGATATTTAAAGAAAACAAATCAATTATAATATCGAAAACAAGAAAAAACGTTAACTTCGGTAGCACCGTAGCTATAATACCCTTCACAAATATAAAGGCTCTTTACAAGAACTTGATTCCGATCGTTCAATTAGTATAGCAGCTATATGCTATAGTCATCCGATCTATACAATTTCTCATCAGATAGGTTTATTGCCTTAAATAATATTCCATTTCAAATTTCGTGAAGATATCTCGTTAAATGAAAGAGTTTTCCATGCAAGCACTTGATTCCGATTGTTCAGTTTGTATGGCAGCTATATGTTATAGTGGTCTGATATCGGCCGTTCCTGCAAATGAGCTGCTTCTTAGTGAGAAAAGAACATTTGCAAAATTTCAGATCGATAGCTTCAAATCTGAGGGACTAGTTTATATATATACAGACAGACGGATAGACAGACAGACGGACATGGCTAAATCAACTCAGCTCATCATGCTGATCATTTATGTATATATTTTATAGGGTCTCAGATGTTTCCTTCTGGGTGCTACAAACTTCGTGGCAAACTTAATATACCGTGTTTAGGGTATAAAAATAAAAAAAATCAGAAAATTACAGGGCGGCAAAGTGGGAACTGATAAAAAAATGGCGCGTCCTGGTGTGCAGGATATCAGGACTCTCAGTAACTTGAAGTGGAAATTGTTGAGTGATCCTTAAAGAGGAAAGAGTAGTTATAGCACTACGAGAGGATTTTGAAAAAATTTTTCACAAAATGGCGACTGTTTGAAACATATGTTTCGTTATTTCCGTTTTTTTGCCGTTCGGAAGTTTTTAAAAGTATAAAATTTTATTTTTTCAAAAATCCTCCCGTAGTATCATAGAATAATGTATAAAAAAGCTCTGTATGAAATTTCAAGTAAATCGATTGAGTAATTCAGAGAAAAACGAATTTAAGAGCTGCCCCTCGATTTTGTTGGCGCATCACTAAATGAGCTGTAACTCCGAAAATAATTGAAATTACAAAAAATCTTTTTAGGGACATATTTTTAAAAGGTTATACTACAAAAATACGTAAAAATTCTTTTTGTTCGTAAATTCCTAAACCCAAATAGCTCCTTAAAAAATGTGTATTACAATTTTTTTTTGTTTTGTAATACCGAATACCAGATTAAAAAATAAAAAAAATTTAATCCCCCATACCGGATTAAAAAAAAACCATTTTAATCTCAACTACCGGATTAAAAAATAAAAAAAATTTAAATTGGATTAAAAAATTCGACACCCTGTCCATTGATACATATACAAGTATTATATTTTTGTGTGTGCTTATGTTGCAAAGGTTGTGTGAGGGAATACGGTTAAGTGGCTTGGAATGTCAACAGCAAAGTGTCTTATGTATATTTTTGATAGTATTACAAACCGCAATGCACTTATATGCCTTTCTATTTCTTCGGAAGTGGGCCGGTGGCAATTAAATGCTTGAAATATATGAATCAAACTGCCATATCTTCAAAGTCAACGCCTTTAGTATCGGCGAATTTCATAATAATTTAGCACCGCGAATATGACGTCATACAAGTTTTAAGCTCAGAACTTATATTCGGCCCATTAAAGAATAATCTTCAAATTAGTTAGTCAGATAAACGCTATACTTTAGTAGTATATCTTCAGATTTTGGGTGCAATCCTCGAGTTTTTTCCCTAATGAGGTTTCTCACACCTATTATTGAATCTATCTACATATTATATATATGAAAAACAAAGCTATCATCTCATTGACATTATTACAGCTTTAGGTATATCCCTTGTGTTCTTCAGCTTCGCCACGA